CAATAATGCAGTTGCATGAAAAAAGAAGAAAACACCTGTTGTGGCCTTAAGCTCAACACTTTTATAAATATATCGACGACGTATTGTCAATTAACAATAGTAATTTCCATTCTTATATCGATACGATATATCCTGGTGAGCTTGAAATATAAGATACCACCGAGTCTGACACATCTGTTTCATACTTGGACATTTTAATTGAAAAAGACGTTAATAGTAATCTAACAACCAAAATCTATGATAAACATGATGACTTTAACTTTTCAATCGTCAACTTCCCTTACCTTTGCAGCAATATAAATGTACCTTCAACAACCTACATACGGAGTTTATATATCTCAGTTGATTTGATGCGCAAGAGCATGCTCTAGGTATTAAGCATTTCTAAAACGAGGTACATTATTGACAAACAGTTGATGAAACAAGAATATCAGCAGTCTCGTTTAAAGTCATCATTTTGTAAGTTCTATGGTCGTTACAATGACCTTGTCAGCAAATACATTTTATCAGTGAGTCAAATGCCGACTGGCGTTTTTCATACTAATTGTTAGTCCATTATTCATACCCTGAATTGACGACGGAATTATCCATTATTTCCCGATCATGAAAAGGAGCACACAGCGGATGTGACCGATCGGCAAGGGATGCTCACTCTTACATGGCCTCTGATCCCACCTCTGATGTTTTGAAGGTCCCTGTTTGATCTGCTCCTGTTTTGTATTGTTTTATGGATATTTTTTTACTTTGAATACTGCTCATTATCTCCATACGCTACATTGTCTATCAAATAAATTGGCACATATATATATTATATGTTAACTTAGTGATAAAGGTTTATTGTAACATATATGAGGGAAGTTGGCAAGAGAACTAAGTCATCAATCTATTACAAAGTTCATTTTTTTTTCAATGTTTTTCTGTCGTAAATAAAAAAATATGTGTCTGACTCTGTGGCGGCTTTAATGACAAGTTCAACGGGATATATCTAATCAACTTATGAAAAAGGATGAATGAAGGATATGGATATAACAAACAGTATTCAATATCAAAGTCCATAAAACAAAACAAAAAAGGAGCAAAGCAAACACAGACCTCTAAAACATCAGCGGTGGGATCAGGTGCCATGTAGGAGTGAGCATCCCCTGCCGATCGGTCACACCCGCCGTGTCCTCCTTGCCATGATCGGGAAATAACGGAAACATCCGTCAATTCAGTGCATAAATAATGAACTAACAATTAGTATGAAAAACGCCAGTCGGCATTTGACTCAATGATAATTTGTATTTGCTGACAAGGTCATTATAACGACCAAAGAACTTACGAAATGAAGACTTTAAACGAGGCTGCTGATATTCTTGATTCATCAACTTGCTTGTCAATAATTTCCCTCGTTTTAGAAATTGTTCATACGTAGAGCATGCTAATGCGTATCGAATCAGCTGAGATATATAAACTCTGTATGCAGGTGATGAAGGTATATAGCTGCATAAGTAAGAAAAGTTGACGATAGAAAAGTTAAAGTCATCACGTTTATCATAGATCTAATTGATAAACTCATTATATGATTAACACCTTTGTTTTATCTAAGTGTCAACTTGGGGGAAAAATGAATTTTTTGATATCAAAGTAAAACAAAAAACAGTCTCCTTCAAGAAGAACACACATCAGTTCGACTTATTATGGTACACATTTAAGACCTATGTTTGAAAAGTCCAGACTCATAATATTGGTAAAAAAACCCACCAAATTTGTTTTGCCAATTATAAATTGACTTACTATATCATATGAATACTGGCATCTCGTATTAAATTATAGCCTATCAAAGACACTTCATTACTTATCAAATAAATATTTTCAGATATACCTTAATTCCATGTAGCCCTTTTAACGAGGTATAAAAGACTGTTTTCAATTTAGATATTTTCCCACAAAATATCAAAATAATAAGAAACTAAAAAAAAACCCATTATCACACGTCAAACTTTTCTATCGTCAATTTAACCCGTTTTATGGACATTTCTATTTGACCTGCACATAAAGTTTATATATAATAATGATGTTCCAGTTGAGCTGATAAGCAAGGCATGGTTTATATACGATCAATTTCTAAAACAGAACAATCTTCTGACAAATAAATTGATGATATAAGGATATCAACAATCAAATAAAGTAAAATTTTACAAATTGTATGAACGATACGGCAAACTTGTTAGCAAATGCTATCTATCAATTAGTTGAACGTTGACAGAGCCTTTCATACACTGAATTGAAGACGGATTTTTCCCGTTATTTCCTGATCATGACAAGGAGCACACGGCGGGTGTGACCGGTCGGCAGGGGATGCTCACTCCTCCATGGCACCTGATCCCACCTCTGATGTTTCGGAGGTCCGTGTTTGCTCTGCTCCTATTTTGTATTGTTTTATGGACTTCGAGATTGAATACTGTTCGTTATCTCCATATCCTTCTTTCATCAAATTGTTAGTACATTATATGGATGTTTCATTAACAATGCAAATAGAAAAGGTAATAAAGGTGGATGCTATTCTCTTGTTTAATAAACGTCATCCAGTTCCTTTTTTGATGAATGAGAAAATACATTTGATGATAAACAAGATATATATATAATTGCAAACTGTACGATAGAATCGCCTTCCTAACAGTTTTGTGAATTGAAACTGTCATTCGTCTTTTGGCAAAATTCTCTCAATAAGCCTTGGGCTCTTTTTGACAATTTTCTTTTTCTCTAACAGCAAATACCTAGTATAAAATGAGTACTTATAGTTTAAATTTCGTGTAAGTGATATTTAAACATCTAAAGGTTTTCTAAAGAAAAGAATAAGTCATGGAAAATGTCTTTGTCGGACAAACATTGAATATTCTTTATGCCTGAAATATGATGCGTTAATATTTGTATGGAATCAAATATTGGTCGAAGAAAAAAATAGTTAATTATTGACATACATCTGTTGTCTCCCTTGAATATATGAAGGTATATATTGTGTTGTATGTGTCATTTAGGAAATGTAAGAATTTTCCTTGAATGAAGTAATATTTAGTGCAAAAACATTTAAACTATACATTCTGATCTTCTTCAATGCTTAAAGTTTAAAATTATCTACAGGAAATAAATCTAAAAACCCAGCTTTCGATTTCAGGTCATTACCTGTTTCGTAGCATTCACACACTTGTTGCTCAGGGTTTATTGATCTAACTATTTATAGTCGTACGTGTTTTCACGTTACTAATTTCTTTAAAATTTTCAAGTACCGGGTTATTCATGGAAGTTAATGTGCTTTTCCTAAAGGATTGGTAAGACATTAAATATTTTACTACAAACAACATATATATACATATACAAACATGTATACATGTAAACAGATATATTTTCGGCTCTTTTTTTGTTTACTTTCTCTTTCATTGATACTAGAAACTGCTACTTTTGATTTTGATACAACAGGTTATACAATGGACATTACAAATATTTCAGTCATATCAATAAAGACAATGGAAAATGCAATCTAGTTCCTTTATATTTCAATGTATGTCAGTGGAATATTTATGAATTACTGTACTTTATTTTTAACTGGAAATTTCCATGACCTAGAGATCTACTTAGTTTGCGCTTTAAATATTAAGTGTCCCTTCCAGCAAAATGTAAATATGTGCATTTGTAATTGTGTTTATTTTTCATGAAAAATCAAATTGGACTAGGTTTTATATCTCTCAAAAGAAAATAGTTTTTGGTAGTTATTGAGAATAGTTTTAGTTTTTGAAAGTTGATTCTTTATATTTGGAAAATTTGAGATAATTCGTATTTTTGAATATTTTCCTTGGTTTAAAGAGTGATTTCTTTTCTTGTAGAAAAGGGATTTAAAAAAAAAATAAAGAATGGAATATATATACTTTGTTCAAGTCGACATAGATGACAAGTCAACATCAGTTGGTTCTCTGCGTTGTTCGGAGTATAAAGATCAACTTCGACCAGGATCCCCATCGTGTGTTCCAAAAGTATCAATCAATGATATGGAAGACACCAGACCCATTTTGTATGCATGTTGGAATTCAGGGGCAATAAAATCTTTCTTCTGTCAAATTGAATCAAGGAAAAGGGAGGCGAAAATTTCTTCTTTGTATTTTCTCAATTTGAGGGTACATTATTTTGCCATCGATTGGAATAATCAGGTATGTAGCATCATTGTGGAAGCTAAAAACTTTGCAATAGGCCAAATTCTACTAAATTTGAATTTTCAAAGTGTTCATAATTCTAACGTACTTCCAAAGATAATGTTTCCAAATACTGGACAGCAGTTAAAGGTAAACAAATTGACAAGCAGAGAGAATAAAATCAAAATTAGACCTCCTTATATTTCTAGGGTTTGTTGGAGATCGCTAGATTTTCTTATAGCCTCATCTTGTTTCTCTCTGCACAAACAATTTAGTGTTTTCTTCAATATAGAAGCTTTCCAAAAGGTGCATTTCTTATGTGAACTCCAATGGTCTATATTTTGTGAAACAAGCTCACCTTTATTCGTTTCAGTGGATTACATAGCAATAAAGGGTTGTATCATTGCAAAACGTATCTTTGAAGTCAATGCATCAACATTTCAAATAGAAATGACATCTTTGCTTTTTTCACCGTGCAGCATGCTTCTTAGATTCACTTCACGTTTCAACAGAGCTCGGGATATGCATACAGCTTACCTTTTAAAACAACTTTTAAAAGTCTTTGACCATAAACATATCGAAATTGATGAAAATTTGCAAACAAAAGAAAACAAACGAAACAAAGGTAACCCTTATTCAAGCGTCGATCCGACGGAAATGTATTGTCTAAGGAAAAACGAACATTTTGAAAACTCTCTGATGACAAAAATCCACGAGTTCTTTCACAACAAATCTGAATCTGATTTTACTGAGAATTTGGATACTGTTGGTGAAAGAAAGCAAAAAGAATGGCTTTCTTATAATTTCAATAATTTTTTGGAAATTTCAATGTTCCCTGTTTTCCGTAGAAATGATCTCGAATACTCGTTTCAACAAATTTTGAATGGTACACCCTATCTATCGAGTGAGGTTATGAGATTTGAACATCATCGTTTGAGTTCATTTGCAAATTATACCAGCAGTGATATACCAAGCGTACTGCTGATGGCTAAGGCCGGGTGGTATGCTACAGGAAATGGAATGGAAACAAAAACATTCTGTTGTATGATAACTCATACTGCTTGGAGAAAAGAAGACGATCCATTTCATGTGCACAAAGATCTTTATTACGAATGTGCATTTATTCTGGGTTCAAATTTGGATCATGTATCAATTCAGAGAGAAAATCCTGATTGTCAACGACGTAATTCCGATACCAACAATTCAAATCTTTCTGAAATTTCGACGAGGATGCAAAACATGGAAATTGTTTCATCTAAGCCAAAAGAAGATGAACGAGTAGAGGAGGAACATTTAGTAAATGAATTTAAAATTGACAGGCCTTCAAAGTTATCCTCGAAATTAACTCGAAACACATCCACAGCCTGGAGTATTGACTGTCCTTCTCGATCATTATCAGCAAACAGAGGAGTAGACAACTTTTCTCGAAACTTACCCGTTTGTGATATAAACCGCAAGACAGAAGAATCTGCATTAAATGAAGTCAGATCATTTGAAAACGATAAAAGTAATAGAAAAATAGAATTTACAGATAGCGGAGACGGTTCCAAACACGTTTTACACGAGCCGGTACTACCACCCTTAGATTTCGCGAAACCAAAACATATCGAATATTCCACGGTGGGGATAAGAATGTCCTCTTTCAGTGGTTTTCCCATTACTAGTAGAAAGACAGCAAAAGAGTTTGCAGTGGGCGGATTCTACTACAGAGGATTTGGTGATAGAACCACTTGTTTTCAGTGTGGAATTAGTTTGCAAGGATGGAGTGTAGATGATGATATATTTGTAGAACATGTCCGTTACAATCCATTATGTCAATACATGAGGCGATTGAAGGGTGATGATTTCATAAAACTAGTTATGACAGCAACTGAAAACCCCCAGGTAACTATAAATGAACACAAAATAATGTTTCAAAAGTCTTTGACCTATTTCTATTATATTTGGTGTGATAGTTTATAAACAACTTTAAGAACTGCTAGGCAATATTTTTCTCTATAGACACCACCTTCTCTTTCAAGTTTGAGGGGCGATAAAACATGTAAGTTTTGATTTTTTTTCCATAGAAATTATTACAATGTGTAGATAAATCTTGTTCATGAATACAGTTGTGGTATAAATTCTCTTCCGTAGCACCTCAGAATTCTTCTGCAAAAGATATAGCCAGAAAACTTAAAGAAATGGGATTTTCCAAAAATGCAATATCTGCAGCTTTAAACATAGTTGCAACAAAAAATGGTATGTTTGGTCTGCCTTTGACAATTCAGATTCTTGTTACTATTTAGAACTGTTTTGTCACCAATCATCTGAATAACGTATCAATTTGTTTATGCTGTAAAGGCAATAGAACACTTTAGTCGGCAATTTACAGGAAATGTGGAAGAAATAAATAAATATTAATATTATTGCTCATGTTGATTTTTCAGTTAGTTTTACTATCCAGGACGTTCTGGATGTCGTTGTTGAAAATACAGACATCGAACATAGAAATTCAGTGAACACATCAATTACATCAACAGAGCAAGAAGAAAATGAAGAACATTGTAATTCACGAGATAATCTTTCAAATGCTTGTTTTTCTGAAAGTACATCGACTAGTTTTTCAACAAACTTAACAAGTGCCTCAAAGAGCGATTTGGAATTTAAAGATAAATTCTTATGTAAAATTTGTATGGATGAGAGAGTGGGGGCAGTTTTTACACCATGTGGTCACATTGTCACGTGCTGGGGATGTTCAAAATCTTTGGGAAAATGTCCCATTTGCCGTGAAAATATAAGGGATAAGATTAGGACCGTTATTAATGATTAGAATGATTGATTGAGTTACGACATTAAAACAGATTGATAACTTTTATCAGTAATACATGTACTACTTATATCGAATTTGAAAAAAAAAAATCATTTGTGGTTCACAAACTTTATATTAGTTTTTTGAATCACCAGAGACGGAATTTTCATATTCAATATTCACATTTTAGTAAATTCTGAGTGAATTAGATTTTTTTTTGGTTTATTTTCTGTGTTTTGTTAATTTATGCAATAGAATTTATTTAAAGTTAAATAGAGAGGGTCTGACTCAATATTTGTTAATATTTATTTCAAATTTTATTATATACATACCAAACTGTCAGATTATATTTCTCAAATCATGCTGTATAAAGCATAATTGTGAAGTTATAGTATTTGCAACAATTTACCATGGAGTATTTTTCATTCGAAATAAATTGTCATTTAATTGTAATTTGCCATATTTAACTGTCTTACATTCATATAACAGGAAAATAAAATTCAAAAGTTTATGAAGGGGAGAAGAATATGTGATAATTATAATTGAAAGGATTTTGTTTTAATTGGTGAATGAAGAAAGGTTTTTGTCTGAAAAATATAAAAGTTAATGATGGGATATCAAAGTTAAAAATGAGACTTCTCTGAGGCGTATTTAATGAACAAACAATGCTTTCCAAACAGAGGAAGTTTAATGCCTTGTGACGTAAAATGGAAAGAACCGCGCATGTACCTTTGAATATCTTGGCTTTTGCACTCTCATGCATATGAAAATCATGATGTTGCTCTTTCCATTTTCAAGAAACGATTTCGAGATGTACAGTGTTATTAAAAATGCCTGGATCATATATCATATCTACATCTAGAAGATTATAATACCGAGTCTCCGCAGATTATAGGATAAGGGAGATATACAAAAAGATCAGTTAACATTGTACTAGAAAGAAATTTACTCCTTCGAAGTAGAATGAAAGAAACTACAGAGATTCATGATTCCTATCGACCTGAGTCTTACTGAAAGAAATGTTACCGATGAATTAGTTGAATCAATTGGGTCAAGAAGCCAAGGACAGTAAAAACAACAGACATCTCTTAAATCGGAAAAAGACAGATACTGCAAAAAAAAAAACGACGAAAATAGGCACGATATATTTATTTTACAATACCACGTTATATCGTTGTCAAGGTACAACTCAATTTAAAAACATTTACAGTTTTAAATATACCTAGGCCTACAAAAAACTGCATAAAATTCAATCATATACCTCCTTATTGGAATGATTCTTATAACCTTAATTCAATATTATGGCTGAAAAATCACAGTCATCGAAGACTACAGTAAATATTGTTATCAAAGGTATGATGGATCATTACTGGATGAACAAAGGAAAGTTTTGAGACATCGAGAGATCGTTTACACTGAAATTTCATTTAGTTGAAATGCTGATTGCAAGTGGAAATAACCTTACAATATCATTTTGTCTTTATTTCTAAATGTCTGTTTCTGCTGTCACCAATAAACAAAGAAAAAACTGGAAACACTTGAAGTTTAGTCCTAGCTCTCATCTGATCAGGAGAAGACCTTTTACCACCACAGTAAAATGCTGCGTCATCAAAATCGAAATAAAAATTATATCAAACTGAATGGATGACACTTAAGACGATCAATGATGCTATAAACTATTGTTGACTAAAAGGAACGGTAATATGAAGCTATCATAGGAAAAAAATTCTGCAGATTGAGTTACAAGATCGAGATATCAGATAAAGAATAATGACGCTAAAACAAAATTATTTTTAACGTTTTAAGATATACCAAGCCTCTTTACTAATGGCTGGAACATATAATCTGCTGTAAAGGTAATATTTACCTAAATAGCGTCAAAACTGAAGTTGGATAGAAAATGCCAATTGGGGAAAATAAAAAGTCATTCAAATGAATCAACGAATCTGCACCTTTGACTTTGAAATTTTGAGAGTAAAGCATCGCGTATCAAATTTATTATCATCCATATCAAAAGTATTTTTAACCCCAACACCAGCATATCTGTAAAAAGTCATTTCTAGAATTGATTCGAGGAAAATCTCTGAGTCTTACTTAAAGATGGTGCCGAAGAATTAGTTCCTCGCAATTGGATCAAGAAGCCCAAGACAGTGAGAACAACGACATCCCTTAAATTAAATAAAAGACAAACACTGCATAAAAGCCGAGGAATAAATTGCAACGGTATCTATTAGATACAATACCACGTTACATCGATGTTAGGTACAGCTTAATTTAAAACATTAAAGTTTATTATATTTAACAAGAATTGCATAAATTTTAATCATATACCTGTTTATTGGAGTGACTATTTTAACCTTAATTCAGTATTATGGCTAAAAAATCACACTCATCGAAGACTACAGTAGATACTTTTATCAAAGGTATGATGGATCATTAATGGATGAACAAAGGAAATTTGTAAGGCACCAGGAGGTCTGAAGTTGAAATTTCATTTATTGTTGATTGCAAGTGGAAATAACCTTACCACATCATTTTGTCTTTATTTCTAAATGTCTGTTTCAGCAGTCACCATTTGACGAGAAAACAATTAGAAACAATGAAAGTTTAGAACTAGCTCTGATCAGATTGTGATAAGACCTTAAACAACCACTATAATATGGTCTCTTTGATGCGTCAGCAAAATCAAAACAAAATATATAACAATCTGAATGGATGCCACTTGAGGGGACCAATCAAGGTTTATCATTTAGGAAAGGAAATTGTAGAAACCTAGAAAACATTTCTGCAGATTGAATTATATGGAAAATACATGTCATTAGACTCTTTTGGCAAAGTAATACTAGGAATGACGTTAAAACATTATTATAATCCATATCAATTTTTATATCAACATTATCATGCCTGTAAAAAATCCATTCTGGTTTTGATTCGAGGGAATTCTTGTGTGTATTTTTTTAACACTATCTGTAAATCTACATTGTTATTACAGTGTATATGTACATCATCAATCCGATTGTTTTTCATAGTTTTATCCTTGAAATAAAATTATCTATCTATTTTCAGCTTCCCTTTGAACTGGATCTCTTTATTTCGGAGATTTTATAATCTTAATTCTTTGTCTTCATAATTTTTTTTTAAAAACAAATATAATTGCTTACTACAGTATTTAAGTCTCTTTTTAGACAAAAAAGAAATGAATGATATCGTTCATTATTAAATGTATTTTATAAAACTGGAAATTGTATATAGTCTTTGGGGAAAAAATTATTTTAAATGGCCGAAGCTCCATTTGCACAGTATACATTGCAACATGAAACATATGAAGATAACGAACAGTATTCAAGATTAAAATAATCATGGGAGCAGAGTAAAACGGACCTCCAAAACATCAGAGATCAAGTACTATGGAGGAGTGAGTATTCCCTGCCGACCTATCACGCCCGCCGTGAGCTCCTTGTCATTTTCGGGTAACAACGAAAAAACCCGTCGACAATTCAGTGTGTACATGGACTGACAATTAGTATGAAAAACGTCAGTCAGCTTTTGACTCAAAGATAAATTCTATTTGCTAAAGAACATACGAAATGATGACTTTAGACTGTTGGTATTCTTGTTTCATCTACTTGTTTGTCAATAATTTACCTCTTTTTCGAAATTGTTCATACGTAGTACATGCTCTTGTACATGGAATCAATTGAGATATATAGAAACTCCATGTTCAGGTGATGAAGGTAGATCGCTGTATAAGTAAGGGAAGTTGACGATTGTGAAGTTTGTCATCACGTTTATCATAAAGCTTGGTTGAAAGATTACCATAAACGTCTTTTTAAGTAAAATACCAATATGTGAAACAGATGATTTAGACTTTGTAGTAACTTTTATATCACGCTTATCAGGATATATCGTGCATAAGATAGGAAATTATCACTGTTAATTGACAATACGTTGTCGATATATCTTAACGTCGAGTTGAAGGCCAAAGCAAGTGTTTTCTTCTTTTTACGTATAAAATTTTAGGCAAAGTCTGCTTCAAATGATTACATAAAAAGGTCCGCTAATAACGGGGCACAACTGGTACTCATGGGAATTCCAATAGATTGTTTGAAGACCTAGTCTCCAAAATCAACATATATTGTCAATCAGAAACTCAAGTATGATTTTGATGTCAACTTGAGAGTACTTTTGTGTACAATCAGAATGTTTTCAACAAAATAATTTTGAAAAGGACCAATGACCTGATAAGTAAATAAACGGTTTCATTATATTTATTGAAAAAGCATCTGTCAATGATATAAAAAAGCCAACAGGCATGCTTATGAAGCTATCTTAGGACTAAGACATATCTTAAGACGGTCTTACGACATATCTTAGTCTTAAATGAGGCCATCGAAGCTGTCCTATCTTAGGAGACCTCCTAATTTTAGTCCTAACTTTCAGACGACTGCGGACATGTCTTAAGTCTTATCTTAGGTGATTTTAAGAAGCGTTGGTGTCAGGAAAACAAGTCGAATAATGTTTTGTGTAAATAAATCAAATATTTGTTGTAAATTAAAGATTTCTGTAATGAACTAAATAAATTTATGAGCATTGTACGTGTGAATGTATGAATATGCCTGTGCACATAACAATGGAGAGAATAGTTAATAAAAATGCACTGAAGAATTGACATGTATGCATTTAAAGGTTAAATCATTGAAAAAAGATTTCTTCAAGCCCTTTCAAAATAGATAAAAATATACAATCAATTGTTTTTTTTTTATTGGGGCAAAACGGAGAGGTATTTTTTTTATTTAAAGAAAGTGTATACATGTTGACTGCTTCTTCCTTTTCCAGAGAGAGAGAGAGAGAGAGAGAGAGAGAGAGAGAGAGAGAGAGAGATCAACTGGGAGAAGAACGACCAAATAAATGTTATGCCTTATATCTTTTCTCAATTACTTACCCAATTATACAAATAATTATGAAATTAAAAAAGTAATTTTATTTTGTCATGTAGCTCCGCTTTTTTTATTCTGCTAAATGTACACTAGATTGTACACAAGTAGCTATGTTATATAACATTTGTTACACAAAACTGGGATAAAATGGACTAAACTGCTAAAGATATATGTAATCATACAATAGAAATCGATGAAAATAATAGATTAAAATGATTTTTTTAAAAATCATACTTTAAAAATTAGTCTTGAATCCAAGCATGTTTTTAAAAAAGGAGTAGGGACACACCCACTAAAGAAATACTGACTAAGAAATGTTTTAATAAGTAAGGAAAATTAAAATAAAAACATTAATCGTCTCCAAACCTGAAAACTCTTTTGGGGGTGGGGTGCATTTATAACTATACAAAACATGTATTCGCATATGGCTTTAGATGTTAGATTTGCTCGCATACTCGATAGTCGCTACCATAAGCATAGGAGTATGTGAGCGGATCAAAATTTCATTCGAGTGTTTTAAGTAAATTCTTTAAAGAACAAAAGGGAGCTTACCTCCCCCCCTACATCTACATATGATGGTAACTTGAAAAAGGGACTTCTTTTAGTGCTTCATTTACAAAAACGCAAAAGAAGAAAATGCCTAAGATTGAATTTACGACATCTTAACTTAGGACAATCCTAAGATGCCTTCGTTCTACAAACCAAGACGTATCCGAAAATGCGCCTAAGATATGTCCTAAGAAATATTCTAAGACACATCTTCAGACACATCTTATAAAATTTTCATAAGCATGCCTGCTGGGCTTTAATTTATCGCGGGAAAGTAGTAAGTTTGAAGCTGTTGATTTTAGTGAAATCTTGTGATTTCAAATTGTCGAAAAGTTCCTTAAACTTTTTAAGTATCCACATCTGATACATGTATATACACCACTTCTCGAAAATATTGATGCACAGTACTCTTTAAGTTTCTCCTTAACTACTTTTAATATCTTAGTGAGGAGTAAGAAAAAGGCTTGGTTGAACATTTCTTGGAACCTGCTGTTTATCTTTGTTTGTAAGGATTTTTATGAAGTTTTGGATTCCAATATATATATATGGTACATCTACTCCAGTATAAACTAGAAAAAACAACTTTTGATATTCATTGGAATAATTTTCTTAAAACCTTTATTTTGCTAAGAATGAACTAAATCTTGACGTACTTTTTTCTTTGTTTAAAATACATTGGCCTTTCAGATAGGAGGGCCTGAAGATAAACCATTTTTGTCGTAATTTGTCAATTTTATTATAAAGAGGCGAAGATAAAAAAAAGTTACTTTACTACAAAAATTTTAAAAAATCATTTTTAAAAAATTTTAAACAAAATTAATTTTTAATTTTCATTTTTTTTATCTTAACAAATCTTAAAAAGGCATAAAATAAGAACATTTGAAAATTCGATAGATGGTATCAGATGCTTAGGTTGGGGTAAGTATTCTCTGTTAACTGGTAACGTCCACCTTGAACCCTAACAAAGTTGAAGGAACATTCTGTAGTAAAACTCGGTACTAGTATTTAAACAAAGGCCTTACAATTGATATGAACCAAGTCATCCAGAATACATTGATAACAGAGAAATAATAATGACCGTAGATTTTACGAAATACCCGCTTTTAAAGGGGTTTGTAGAATCCTTGTAACATCATCTTATCTTTCAGTAGCCTACCTCAGTTTTTACAGTTGTACTCGGAGCATTGTGATGAGCATCAGATAAGTCGTGAGATTTTAACATCATAAGCAGGGTATACCAGGATTTTACCACTTAAATAAGGAAAAGTCGAACTCATCTCGGTGCCATACAAATAAGTTGTAAAATGGCCCTTATCCAGTAAATATCGAAATATGAAATAGATCTGGCAAACTCGGTGTCTTATTTATTTCAGATTCACTACAGGATAAATAACATGGACATAGAATGAAAGTAGCAATTGTTGATTGATTCTACAATGTATATACAATGTATATATTCAAAAGAAAGGAGAATTTCAAATTTTTAATTGAAGAAGTAGTTGTCTATGACATCAACAAATCCCGGTTTTAAACTCATCATGATTAATGTTGATAAAATGTAGAAAAGTAAAACATATTGGAGTAACTGACTTTTGCAAAATTTAATGCATCAAAATCACATTACATTGATAATGCCCATGAATATGTTACGATATACCATGTATAATATTAAATTTACTTTCTTGAGGAGGGGGGGGGGATAAGAAAAGTTGCATAACATATATTTATTAAGTAATGTCATGTCCTAAATTTTGAACTTATAGGGTAGAAGAAAAAAAATCAGAACATGTCAAAATCAGTAACATTCATAAAGAAGCGTCGTCGTGTACTGTATTTTCAAGGTTTTTCATTGATGATCCCCTGAGGTAAGATTGTGATCACATACTAGTATGACATTTAAAATTATACATAAGAATACTCATATGTAGGAAACATTTCTAAAGTCTTTTTTATTTTCTTTCAGGCAGTATATTGGATTAATTTATAAAATAGGAAATTTATTTTATTTTGTTTTAATTTTTGTCCATCAATAAATCTACGGTCTATCCAAATTTTCATTCCACTGTGATATGTGTATCATTTAGTTTTGAATCTGGAAATCAAGAGAATAAGGAAATAAAATTTATGTAAAAAATTAAATATTTCCTCGGTGTCAATGCATGGTTAAATGCTTCATACCTCGTGAAAAAAGGAAACTAAAATTTAGATATGAAAAAAATTCTCCCCAAAACAGCACTCAACACTCTTACATTGTCTACAGAGCCTTGAGGCGACGAAAATGTTGTGAAAAAAGAAAAGAAAAATAAAATAGTTCGAAAAACATCATAAATTTTATCTAAAAATAGATTTAAAGTTATCTTGAATTGGATCATGTTTTATTTAAATGGCTTGGTTTAAAAAGGTGTTTTCCATGCCTTATTTTCTGCGCTGATATATATCTGGTTTATTTTTGTCCAACTACGCCATTATCTTATATCTAACTTGTTTGTCATTCCTTTTATAAGAAGTACTCAGCTTTTTTCTACAAAAATTAGTTTAAAAAGGTTAGAGAAATTAAAGATGAAATGATTTATAAATTCTTTACTTATATTAGGAAGAGTCGCTTACTTCGAATGTTTTACTTTTATTGGAAATGTTTCCGTATTTAAATGTATCTTTTAAATGCGCAGAAATAGACAGACCTAGTGCGCATTATGATATATTTATACATTATTTCATTTCTAGAATTTTAAAACAAGAACGCAAAAAACAACAAAAATGCGCAAAAAGTTTTAAAAACACGTATGCAGAAAGCTCGAGAATGATATATTCATACATTATTTCATCGCTAATTATTCAAAACAATATAAAAATATGAAATAAGGTAACTTCAGATGATTTAAATCCATTACTTTTGGGAGGTAATTCATTCAAGGGTTATCGTTATTTGCCGACACACCAGGAAGAAGCAATGGAGCAGGTACTCTTTCAAAACATTTGCAAAAATTGTTTATTGTGGAAATGCATTTTATATGATTATATATATATATAATTATGGAACTAACTACATTGAACGTTTCTGAAAAAAAAAATGAATTAAACATCAAATCTGTAGGGTTTTTAAAAAAAAAATGATTTTTCAACTTTCGTTTTGATAGATTAGCTTATACAGATTAAAGATTTTGATGAAATCAAATGTAATTTGATACATTTGGTTATATAGCATTGACTATTAGTAACATTTTCATTTGGATTACCTTTTAAAGTTTATTTATATATATTCCAACAGAATATCTTTTTAAACATATATTTATATACACGCAAAAACATTGAGGAAAGTTTATATTATAAGGCTAAATATAACCTTTTCCGGGTCAATATTGATACTTGGGTTGTGTCGCGAGAATAACTATGTCAGCTTGCAAGGCTGGTATGAATATACAGGCTTGATACGAATAGTTTGGCGTCATGATAGTATATCGAAAATACTTAATTATTATTAAATATATTTAAGAAAATTAAATGCATTTAAGATATCATATTTTCATTGTGTTACATTAAAAGTTTACATTTCAATTTAACTTATCTATCACAAGCACCACTCTATTCAATAAAACTTTTTTTCAGGCGTATATGTGTACATATCTCTAAATTACTGAGACTGTTTTCCTATCTTCATACCAAATCCAATGATGATTATTTAGTGACTTCCACATCAGACAATACTTACGGAATAATGAAAAGCGGATTAAAATTATGTGAGGGCAGTATGAGGCTATTGATACCATTTGATAAACTGAAAGATTGTTGCAACGAAAATGTAAATTTACATCAGACGAAGTTTTTACTCTCCTCGCCTAAAGCAGACATTGATTTGATTAAAAGGTTCTTTTCATATCAGGTACTTGCTGGTGTCCTTTTGTACAAAAGCTTTTTACATCAAATACTCATTGAATACATATTGCATAATGGAATAAATGTTTCCCCATTGGTATGGGAATTCATACGCAGAAGTTCCATATCACAAGAAAATAACACTACAGACGCTGATGATCAGGAAAAGAATGATAACGAGGCTAGGGGAGAAAGGTACAAAGATCCTTTAGGGAAAATAATCAAAAGCCCTGTAATTATAAATTTTCATATCAGTAATACTTTAATAACTTTTAAAGCATCTTTAAAAGATATTAAAGTAACTGAAAACAAATTAAAAGAGAAACATTTAACACTGCAAATGTTATCCACTGTGAATAAAGAGAGAGATGCCTTTCATTGTAAGGAAAATAAATGGTATAAGGAATTATTTCTGCGTGAAAGAATAAATCCCCCCATGCCATTTCTGATATTGCCAGGTACAATAAACCAAAGTTTTAATAAACTCTCCCAAGGAACACCGCCTGATGATTTTGAAATAATGAAATTTGAATTTCACAGATTAAGCTCATTTAGCAACTTTACCTTTCCCGATGTACCTAGTTCTATAATTTTGGCCAAAGCAGGATGGTTTGCAACAGGAAGCGAAAAAGAAACAAACACTTTTTGTTGCCTCAAAGTATATAGTAGATGGAAAAGAAGCGATGATCCGCATTATATTCACAAAATGTTATCACCTACTTGCTTCTTTATATTAGGGAAAGATATTGGACAGATTTCATTTCATGATAGGGCTTTGAATGACAACAATGAAGCATCTGTGGATAATTCAAGGAATAATGGTTACCTTCCTGGAAATCAGCATAGACATTATAGTAATACATCCCAAGAAATTTTATACCAGAGAACTAACGATGTGGAATCACTGACGGATGAAATTGGCCAATCTTACACAAATCCAAAGGTTTTCAAAGAAGAATTAAGCGAGTGTGACAACGAATCGTTTGCCCAAGAAAGCGAAAATCCTGAAATACATTCTACAAACAATGTATCGCATTTGAATTGGAGCCTATCAGATGCAGTATATCCAAACCAATCAGAAATTGAAGCGAGGATAGAAAGCTTTTCAATGATTAATAAGTCTCATTATGCATTAAAAATTGGACCGGGCTCAGAAAATTTTGTTATTGCGAATAAAACCGCGGAGGAATTTGCTAGAGCTGGTTTATTTTACCGTGGATTCCGCGACAGAACTTCTTGTTTTTACTGCGGGATAGGTCTTCAAAATTGGACCTCCCTCGACAATATCATACTGAGACACTACCAATCAAGTGGAAATTGTCCTATAGCTCAGGCATCAATACATGAAATAGATGCTGATAGAAATACATCATCAAGTAAGTCAATTTAAGTGTAAAAACCATATAAAAATTGCAATAGATTACATGTATACACCTTCAAAACAAAAATTCCGCCGAAATATGACTGAAAAATTGCCGACTCGACGTTAAAAAATATACAATCAATCAATCAAAACACAAAAAAAAATTTATATAAGTACCTGGAATTTGCAGGACAGGCATCCAGAATCCTCTTTAAGTGATCTATAATTTTTTTAAGGTGAGAATAGCGTTGCGGCTTCTCCGAATCAGAGCAGAGGGTATCCTCCAGATATGGAGGGAATTTGTGCTGAACTAGATGAAATGGGATTTGATGAGGAGTTAATCAAAGCGGCCATTGAAAGTTTAGGGCATCGGGGAAGTGAGTAGAAATGAAAAAGAGATATGTTTAATACAATAAATATATCTTTAAACATAATGTTATGATCAATTACACTTTAAATTATATTTACAGATAACAATATACTCAGTATATTATTGATACTTAATGGTGATTGTTCAAAAATTGTGTGTACTTTTAAAAAGTCTGACAAGTTTTCGTATTTGAAAAATAAATAACAAGATATATATTTTTAAATTCATGATCAGTTACCATAAGCCTAATAATTATACTTTCAGTGACATGCACCAAAGAGAGAATTGTGAATGAAATTCTAGACAATAGAGCATCCTTGCATTCTGGATCGTCGATTTCTGGGAGTGCCGAATATAATTCATCAGAATATCAAGAATCAATAGAACCCTTGGAAAATCCGCGCATAGAAACGGCTTCCGGTGAAAATGCCGAAAAACCAACAGCGCCTGGTGAAAAGATTGATACGACAGCATCTACTTCAAACCTGAGAGAACAGTCTGATGATGAACTGCGCAGGCGCGTCACGTGTAAGGTCTGTTTGTCGGAGGAAGTAGGGGTTCTTTTTCTACCCTGTAGTCATTTGGTATCTTGTGTCAGTTGTTCTCGGAGGTTAAAGAAGTGCCCCTTATGTCGAAAACATATTCAAACAAAACAACCCATGTTCTGGTAAAGTTAGAAATATTCCCTGTTATGGTCTTCAAAAAGAGCAAGATTGTACATATACGTGGTTATTACAGATCAGATTTATGTAAAAATGTGTTTTGTGTGTCTATGTTCCTGTTCAAAAAAGAACGTTATATTAATATTTTAATTTTTTTGACATTTTGAAGCGTTTGTGTCTTTTTAAAATCATGCACATGTACACACCATGTTTATTTTATCAAAATGTAGAATATGCGTTTTATGAATTTTTATTTTCTTCACTTTGATTCATGAATGATACATTAACAAATAGATGTATGTGAAATTAAGTATAAAATTAAGTAAAATTATAGCAATTGCTCTTATAAGAACGGTTGTTCTTATTATGATGCCCCCAAAGGAATTATTTATCGTCTTAACAATCAACTGAACAATGTTACCAGATCATTATTTAATACAACAAAACATTTTCTAATATCGGCATTTACATGGCTTGCCCTGTAATGAAAAAAAAAAAATTCTCTTTAGTATCCTTGCATTCAAAAGACATAAATCGTGATCTAAACGTAGAGCTGAAGTAGAAACATACCGCCTTCAATTCACAAATGTAGTAGTGTTCCTTCATACAGTTTTCTACGTGCCAGTGGTATCTATACGTGTGCCACATTATACCACAGTGGTAGTCCTTGTGTTGGTGGAATTCCGGCTCGTCTCCAAACCAGTCAAACTTGTGACACAGCGTGGTGCTGAACCCCCACCTCCAGCTGTGTTTTTCTATGTCAGATAACTCATTAAGTCCTATCCAAGCCCCCTGGTCAACTGAATATGAATACAAACATGTTTTATTTCATGTCAAGCGTGATACATTTTCGACTGATTAAAAAGAATAAAATTCAATGTTATCAATTTAAAAAAATATCTTAAATCTGCATATGGCTTTTGCTTTATATTTGGACATATGTTGTCCCTTGCTATGCACGACTGATTAACGTATAAAAACTAACTTAAAGAATCTATTACATAAAGAGAATGTCTATATGTTAAAAGCGTACACAAACATTGAGCTAATAATATTTTCCAGCAGATAATTTGAACAATGGTGAACTTATTTTTTTTTAATACATGTTGATTATTAAAATCTGGTTTTATATTCTATAAAATTATATAAAATACTTGAATATTTTTCAAACTAACTTTCATTGGATATAAGAAAATTTCTGAGGTAAGTATTCTCATGGGCAGTGTTTATGACCGCCAAGTAGCCGCCCATCGACGCACAAGTCATCTGCAAGAAAAACACCAAAATCCAAAACTTATCTTCAGGTGTTCAGACCATTATTCTGTTACATGCATAGAATGTAATTGTACATTTTTTCAAGAACTATTAGACACAAATTTTGTTTGTTTGTTTGCATTTTTAACGTAAATATTCAAAGCGAAAATTTGATATACTTTAATTAGTGGGAAGATTTTTGCAAATATTCATTATGATAATGTGTAGTATTGATTTTCATCTCGTTGTTATTTACTTTTTGAAAAATATTTCAACACATAAAAACACTATATTCTAGAGACATCTAAACTTACCGTAGCTTTATACCAGCTAAGTTCGTCTCTGCTAAAGTAATAACAGCTATCGTCATACTTTAACCAAGCATAGGGACAGCTATTATTTTCAAGGTGTGGCTCTACTGTATTCAGTCTGAATGTTTTAGGCTGTTTCGGGGGTGGAGGAGGAGTTTTTAGTCCGCTGATATCTATTCCAGCTTTGTAAGATCCAAGGTGGTATCCTTTCTTGTTGTATCCCTTAACATGTGATGGTCGGTACTTTTTAAGATAAGTCTTGTAGTATGATTGGTAGTTTCCTTTAGAATAGGATCCGTCAAGATAATGCAAATAAATTTTTGGATAGTATTTTTGTAGGTATGTCCAGTACGCCTGACTATACCCACCTCTGTAGTTTCCTGTGTGGTACAAAATGTTTGTCCCAGAACCTCGAGCCCTATAAGAATTTTTCGATTTTTTGTATTTTTGTTTCTTAGAGTAACCTCTTTTCATGTTTCGTTTGCCTTTCTTTCGATAATATGAAACCTTGTAATATTTAGTTTTTCGATATCTTCGAAACGGTCTGCGATAACGTCGTCTTCTTACACGGCGATAAGTTGAACGGTACTTCCGTCGAATGTAATATCGACGGCCAAGAAACGCATTCCTATATGAACGTTTTACAATATGGTGCGAACTTGTAGCACTCGTCAAATTATTATGGGATTGTCTTTGTGGTATGAAAACTGGATTCTTTAGTAGAGATCTCAGTCCATACCCAACTACAGCTGCAGATTTTATTTTTTGTGCCTTAAATGTTGGACTTATAGATATAAACAGTGGATATCCTTTTAAAGAACCAGAAAGAAGCAGACTTCGAGGATGGACCTGTTGAGTCGAGCTAGGCAATGCACCATATACCCTTCCTTTTGAAGACAAATTCTTTATCAATTTCCACAAAGACTTTTGAGATAAAGTTGGAGTAAATTTCACAGAAGGATAAGAATTTGAGTTTTCATTTGTGTTTATTTGTTTCAGTTTATGTAATGGCTTAGCTATTGGCTCACGGTGCAGAACCCAGCGATACCCAGAGTGTGTACCTAGGTTATAGCGCTTCGCCCGCTTTTTACCAGTTGTTACTTGTGCCTCATCCATTTGATTCATGATTTTTCGAGCATTAAGTTTATCCATGATATCATTCATCTGAGGCAGGGGTTCCCCAGGGTTTGAATCATTAATAGTTGTTGGTTCTGGTGTGGTATTAGGGTCAAAAGGTTTCGTTACCGTTTCGTCCCACGAGTAAGATTCATTTGGTTTAGCTGTTGTTTCCCACGAGTAAGATTCAGTTGGTTTTACCGTTGTTTCCAACGAGTACAAATCAGTTGATTTTGTTCCAATTTTTTCTAATCTTTGCTTTTGTCTTTCTTTTTGGGTTTCCTCTGTTTTTTCTAATTCACTTTCGACACGAGGATCATTTGGATAACTATTATCTTGATCATCACTCCCGGTTAAACCATATGTTGTGAAAGCTAGGAAAAAACGTTTTTATTGACTCTAGTTTTTGATAACGTACTAGACAAATAAATTTTCATGATGAAGACTATATCAGCTAATATTTAGTTTCCATTATCTTTTTAATAACCACAAAAAAGATTGAAAACTTACCCCATACATAGAGAAGTAAAACGAGTGTTAGTTCAACAATGGATACTGATGTCATTATTTCTTTTCAGGATAGTCATTCAATGCATGTCACTAATTAATCCTAATTGAGAAGCAAAAGAGTAAGGTGCTATGCAAATCGATCTCTATTTTTCTACCTCTAGGAAAGAAAGTATTGACCTGAAGCATACTTGCATTGGATAAGTACATTGAAGCGAAATCCTATTTCTTGTTAGTTCAAAGCGTAAATAATACGGCATACATATAATCATATTTGTCGTGCATATAGAGTAGAAATATCAAGCAAGTTAAACGTTAAATAACATCGACTTTATTATATGGAAATTTGTCATATACTTGTTTACTTTTCGTTGCAAATTATTTTTTATCGTTTATTCTTCCCAATAAACACTGAATTGAAACAAGTTATGATATTTGAAAAGTTAGGAGATTATATATTGTTGTCACTCAGTGGATGTTAAAGAAGAAAAAAAGTTTCAACATAAAAGCAGAAAAAAAATTGTTAACAAGCATTGTGAGAGTTTTGCATTAGCAATACTAGTTGCCTACTGGTAAGTGTTATCTGGTTCCTATTGAAACAATTTAAAAGGCGTATTTCCCTAAAATAATCATTAAAGCAAAGCAAATTTGAAGTTGGATCTTTCAACTCCTCAACATATATTTACATACCAAAACAGACGGACAGACGCAGAGGAAACCTATATAATCAGAGTATAACTATATCAAGGAAATCCTTTTCCTTTACATGGAATATGTTATTGTTAAGCAAAGATTCCTTGATGTTATAGTCAAGAAATCCTTCATAGTATTCAACATTTCAAAACCTATGACATGCATTTATTGCTTTAGACTGTCTATCTCAAACTTACTTTCATGAATACTATATTGATTCTACAATCAAGTACCACAAGGACGATATTGAATGTGAAACCAACAATTACCAATCTTGTAAACCCAGTAAAGAATACAATACGTACAAGCAGGGTGAAGAGCCAGACTTGACCCTAGGAATATTCTGTGTTGTCGGATCATGTGCCTTTGAGGAGTAAGAATCCTTTGTCGTCCGAGAACATCGCCCGCATGCCTTTTGTATTGATTAGGTAAACAGAGAAATACATAATTAAAATTGGCGTAAGACATTGCACTATCAATTGGTATGAAACAAAATACGACCAAACTAAATTTTGTAACTTCAAACATTTCAACATTATATTGACCGTCATGTTTGCAAATTGCTGACTTCAAAGAAATTTGCTGAAAGCTAAAAAACATAAACTTATTTCTCAGTAGCCTGTGTCTTGTAAAAAAAATGATTGATTGATTAATATTGATCAACGCCGAGTCGGCAATATTTCAGCCATGTTCAGCAGTACAAAAATCGATCTTACTCAGATTAAAGAATGAATCGTACTCAGAACATGTGTTTGATTAGGTATGTGACATAAACTCTATATGCAGATAAATATCACAGTGAAAAATTCACCGTTTTTAAAAAACAAACTTTATTTTAGACTTTACTTTTGATTTCGTATTTTTTGCTAGATTTTATTTCTCACGATATGTTTCATGAATCTAATTGTTTAATTGACCAGTGACACTTTTTTGAACTCTTGATATGTTATAATTACAGAGAGACAGAGTGCTTTGTCTCATGCTAATCTCTTATAAGAACATTGTGTAATTATCTGTTTTTCATGTCCAAACATCACAGAGTCATTTAGTATATCTAATAACTCCATACCTGTGAAACTTTCACTCATTTTACTTCATGCCAACACCTGTCATTTATTTACTCATTATGTACATTCTTATAAATAGTCATGTATAACATGTATAATACCAATCTTTAGTCTGGAATAAACGGAGGCCAGCCTTGGCCACGTCCGACTCGTTAGGACTCTGAGTCCGGGGCCACTTCGGCTATATCCGACTCGATCATTTTAATATGTCTGTTTGTTGATTTATATAAACTGTTGCCATCGTTGAGACTCATCTAATAAATACGGAATCCTTCATCATTTGTTTTATCTCTGGAATTGTATATTGGTGGACCTTTGGGATACGGCACCCCTTATACCTTGTTTTTACCTTACGGCCACACAGCGCCTTTACCTTATACTTCGTACCCTCTACGCCAACATTCCCTCACCCCGTTCGTTTTGCAAACAACGGATGTAGTTCCAGACGAAATCTTAGTACCGTCCAAATCTACACGGTCACATAAAACTGAACTATTAAATACAGAAATAATACAGAAATGTGACAGAAAAGCTGACTATCATGTTCGCCGTATGAAATTATTCTCCAAAGTTCTATGACACAAATTATTTTGTGAAGATGAGTCTCTGAAAATATCAGAGGTGGGATCAAATCCCAAGAGTTTTCTTCGGAACTATATTTTGTCTGCTGAATGATTTTAAACAAGAAATCCTTATTTCAATTCCATAATTCCTTTTAAACTTCTCATAAATTAAGTTATACCGTTTTCCACAAATATATTTCCAGACAAACAGTTAAAACTTGAAACGAAATATTTGGATATAACGAATAGAATTCTAGCCCAAAAGTCCAATAAACAATACAAAATTTGAGCAAAGCAAACACAGCCCAAGTCGGATCAAATTCCATGGAGGAGTGAGCATCCCATTAATACCGGTCACAGCCGCCTTGTGCTCCTTGTCATGATCGGGAAATAACGGAAAAATCCGTCGACTCGACAATTCCGTGTGTATACGGCCTAACAAGTATGAAAAACGTCAATCAGTATTTGAATCAGTGATAAATTGTATTTGCCGACAAGGTCATTGTAACGACCATAGAACTTACGAAAATGATGACTTTAAACGAGACTGCTGATATTCTTGTTTCATTAACTTGCTTGTCAATAATTTACCTCTTTTTAGAAATTGTTCATACGTAGTACATGAATTTATGAAATTGTCCACATGTACACTTGTAGAGCATGCTCTTGCGTATCAAAGCAACTGAGAGAACCTGTATGCAAGTGATGAAGGTATACCTGGTATAACTGCATTAGTCAAATATCTAAATATGAAACAGATGTGTCAGACTCTGTAGTATCTTTTATTTCAATCTCATCGGGATAAATCGAATCGACAAAAGAATTGACATAACCATTGTAAATTGACAGTGCGTCGTCGATATATCTAAATGTCGAGTGTGAAGGCCACAGCAAGAGTTTTCGCGTATAACATTGTAAACAAAATCTGTTACAGTTGAATGGAAAATTATGTCATAGAATGGGAAATTTACCTATATTTTTGTCATAATATCTTGAAATATAAATTCATTTTTTTTTTTATCAAAACTGCATTTATGTCGTTTACTTTATAAAAGAAAAAAAATTATGCCTGTTTTTTGTGATAGATATGCAAAATAGTGATAGAGACAGTGATAATATTCATGCAAATATTTTAGATAAGGCATTACCCCTTCACTAAATTAAGAGAAGATTTAAAAAAGATTTTTGATACATTGATTTCGTAATACATTTTCTTATTTAAACGTCACAATTTTACATCTTTTTTAAAAATTAATTTAGAAAATTATTTACATAAAAAACATAATATCATGTTTATAATATTTTTGTAACAACAGAGGTTTAAATGAATATTACAAACATTTTAAAAGTGCAAATCGGCCAAGTTTAACTTGCATTTACTAAAGCAACCAGCCATTATCCCAGTTACTTCTTACAACAGTTTTAATTTTTTCTTGTCAAAGTATTAAAACATGCTCATGAAGACCTGACTTAACAATATATTTAGTTGCGTACCTCCTTGATTTTCCGTATTAAGGTGAGGTTTTTTTCAACATAAAATCCTAATCAAATTTACATTTTAACTTCTGTGTGTAAATTGTAAAACATACAATTTTCATTATTTATGATTAAGCATTTGTTTCGTCATAAAAACCTAAAAGTTCTTAGTACATATATCCATATTAGTATGATACGCAGAGAAGAACATAACATTTTGAAAATTTCAGCAAACAATAATTCTCGAAAACCTCATTCAATCGAACTATGCATATTTTTATGAAAAAGTAAAAATACACATATTTTAACATTTTTTTCCGATTTGATTTTTATAGCTTTATTTTAAAAAAAAATGAAATGTTATAATGGTTTTGAAAGTGTTCATTAAAATCTGTCAATTTGAAACAAAAAGATATCATTGTGATTGATTCTTTTTTAAGATTACACTTATTAGGTATGTTTTGGCCAAAGTGATTTGACTGTTGGGAAAAATGTTTAGTTATGAATAATATAAGAATCATTATAGCATTATTTATTTCGATAATGTTTATAAAACTTACAAAGTTTTACAAAATGAAATATTTTAAGGACTATCTGAAGTTTTTAGATTATGCAGTTTAAATGCTTAATGTACCTCAAAAGCACCAAATTACATAGAATTATGTTGAATTAGCATTTTTGAAAGTCATGACAAATTCTACCCGGCCGATATCAAGTTTATTCTCAAGAGTCTTGTGATTCCATACGTGACTTGATGTATTATCAGACTGCAGCTATGGGTGGCAATTTTAGCCGCGATGACTCGCCCCTTTTGTTCGGAAGTCACGATTGATGAGCAACGGCCTTGTGAACAGGGGGGGTCCTCGGGGTATATAAAGAGCCTCCAGGCTTTTAATTTTACATCAAACCTAAGGTTACCTCTGAGCTGGACTTAGAGGAATCGGATTCCAGGTCTAGTTATTTGCTGTTTGTCGCGGAAGATATTGAGGAAGGCAAGTTATTCTATTTATTTATATTGATAGCAAATTTTGCAAACAAAACCTTTGGCATCGCTTTTTAAAATACTAAAGAAATTAGTTTTAAAAATGGAAATATCTGTTTGTGTTGAATTCTAAATAATTTTAACAGTCAAAATCTTCTTTCTGAATGATAAAATGCGATGATAAGTAGTGAAGTTTTGAAATGAAGTTAAAGTACAAATTAAAAAGATGCAAAGTTTATACAAAAATTATGCAATCCAAGCATCCCCTGTCACAAATTACAAAAAATACAAAATGTAAACAGAAAAAAAATCAAAGATACTACTTGTACATGAACATTACATGTTAACTTAACCTGTAAAATAAATTTCCCTTTTTTTGCCTTTAAGATGCGTTGCCTGGTCATCTATGCTGCATTAGCTATATTTGCTGGTCAAATATTTGCTCAGGTTACCGAGCCAGTACCCAGGAATGGTAAATTGGTTTCCTTTTTAAAAAATGAAATATTAGATAAAGTGGCTAAAACTGAAATTCACTTTCCCTAGATCTTTTCAACTTTCTTACGACTAAGATAAATTTTGACAACTCTTTATATACAAAATTTCTCTAAAAGATCATCACAATACCGGTATATCATAATATTTTAATGCAATATTTTTTTACTGTAACATGCACCTTCCAAAACTTAGATTTTAAAAAAATCTAAATTTATATACATACTCTAACTGTAAAACAGTCAATAATATTTTCATATTAATTATATAGCTCTATTTACACATGTATAAAAAAAATTTCATTTACTCTCTCAGGAACTGAAAGGCCTCCAATAGAAGAAAAGACCGTGGCTCCAGGGGGTGAAAATATTACGGGAATTCCAACAGAAGGTGACAAAACGCCACCAGCTCTCCCTGGCGTTGATCCATCCCCCGAACCCGACCACGACGGAGAAGAAACCGGAAAAGGAAAAATCTGGAAGAATCGCATCGCCAAGTGGAAGAAAATGCGATTGAACAAGAAAGGTCCAGCACAAGAGAAACCAGAAATCAAAGATGATGAAGAGCCCGGACAAGAAACACGGGATAAGGCAAAAGGACCAAGACCTAATGGGAAAACTGGTAATTATTTCTTACTCATTTGTATCTAGAGAACAGCAATTAAATATATTTTTACCATTCATTTACGTTTCCAGTTGCTAAAATACAAGTACATGTAGTTTATTCATCACAAGAACTAAAAAATGTTATGAATATCTTTTGTGTAGAAAAAAATAAAAATGAATTCACATAAAATTATATTTTATCTGAGTTATTAATTAGAATTCAACTTAAATGAAGAAAAAATAAATTACATCATTTCAGATAAGGAACGTCGACCAAAATTTGGAAAACGTAGAGAAAGGGGGATGAAGATCTTTCCATGAAGTCATTTATTAAGCAAAGAAATGCCAAAAAATGTTTTAAGTTTAATATTTCATTGAAAAATTGGAAATCAAAGGTGAAGCTATATCAAAAACATTTTTCGTAGAATCTTTTTATTTCATTTGATCATGTAAAAAATTATTAACATCGTTATCTTATGTTTTTGTTATTTTTTTTATTTGTTGAAATTTTTAAAAATAAAAGCATTTCTTCATTCTGATAAACCTTTTATAGTTTGTTCATAAAACAAAAAGCTGTGTTTAATACTGTGGAATAATTAAAAATCATGGGGGTCAGTGATCGTGGATTGCTTAAAATTAACAGGTTTGTGAAGACGTATTTTCATATACATGTATTCTCCTACACATACAAAATGAAATATGACTTCGTAATCATAATTAACGATTCATGGAGAATGTTAGTTCATGTATGACGGATGCCACAAATACCACAAAAATTGAGCCACTACGAAATCTAATGATTTCACATTTAGCTTTTCCAAGACCAAAACCGAATCTGTAGACTTCTAAAAGCATCAAAAATTGGATAAGGTGTCATGGAGAGATAAGAATTTACTGCTGTAAACTTGTTACATCTGATACGTGCCTTTTTCATCATGGAATAAACGAAGAAGTTATACTAACCAATTCAGTAAGACAATAGTGGCCTTAAAATTTATATGAAAGACGTCAGTCATCATTTGACCGAACGAAAACAATACCATAGTTTCTAAAGAACATTTCATTGGGAAACGTCTTAGATTTAAGTCAGTTTTTCAACTTTCCTTGTAAGTTGATCTATATTGTATTCTATGTAAGTTGATCTATATTGTATTCTATGCACGAGAAAATCACACATAGTTTTTTTTTCAAGACAAGATGAAATTAGCATTATAAAAATACTTTGAGTATAAAAATTAATTCTAGTTAATCTCCAATTACTTTTTTTTCAAATTGTAAGACCAGTTTATCATAAATAGAACAAAATATCGATAAACATCAAATATTTAATGCTTTCTAATCATATTTGAATGGTATATGTTCCTTAAATGAAAGAACATTTGTCACTGTATATTTGCAATAGAAATAAATAATGGCTAGTTTTTTATGTACAGATATTTGTTTCCCATTAAAAGCGACAACTAAAAAACCGGAATTAATGTTTTTAAAGAATTGAAAAAATAAATCTTATTGAGAAGCTTTACTGTTATGCAAGTTACTTGCAATTAAAAAAGAAAATGTACTATACATGTTTACCTTGAATCTAAATTACTAATAAACAGAAGAAAATGCGAAACAAACTCCCATGCATTTTCTCATTTCATTTTTTGTCTGATTTCATTTTGTCATATAACGACAATATACTACATGTAGTTTCGTCAATAAATCAAGTATTTTATATGATGTAAAGCATTGACGATGTAGACTTTTTAAATACTTACAAACACGATGGACTTCATATAATGTTCCAATAATACCTTTCGATCTGCAGTAAAAAAAAATTCAAACTGTTTTAGGAAATCGTGACGAAAGAAATGTAGTCCCATTTAAAACAAGATTTAAATTTCTTCAAATCGTATTATTTGATATGTTAACACTTGGATATATATAATTAAACACACAAAAACATTCAAACTGACCTACCTTCTACCTGAATACTACGATTAAACAGCTTTATATTTGACAAGTAGGTTTAGAAAAGAATGATTTATTTATGATTTATTATGATAACGTTATTTTCAAATTCAAAATTCAAAATTTTAATTTTTTGTGTTCTTTTAGTCTAAGAATGCTTGAAAACTGAAGAAAGTTCATAAGCAGTATTTTTTTCTGTTTTGTTTGTTTTTAATGTTTGTTCATATACTTATTTTTTCTGTATTTTTTCTGTTTTGTACTAAAAAATGAAATATATATTTGGAACTTCATTTAAAATTTTTTTTTCCTTCTTTACGAATTTCTTAAACATTTTTTGAGGAAAAATAATGACTAACTGCACTGCAGGTATTAAATGCTTTGAATCTCGTTTTTAACCCACAGAGCTTGGGTAAATACAAGAAAATTTAAAGCATGTTCACCGACTTGTTAATTCCATTCTGTTGCACCATTTAAATGACAGTATTTATATAAAAAATTTAGAAATGTTGTATACATTAAGCATTTTTGAGTTTAAAATGTGTGTCCACTTTACAAAAATATACAAAAAGGTCCAGTGGTCCTGTTTTTCTAATGAAATGAATCGTGACTCGTATGTTGGTCTAACTAATAAACCTTCCAGGTACCTTGCAGGTATTAAGAAATCAAATGGCCTACCCTATTATTAGGAACTCACGATTTTTATGTAATGAGGTATGCTGGAGTGGAACTGAGAGGTTACTAATTGAGGAGCAGCAGCGTTTTTCGTCACAGTGGTCTCCTCTCTGAGCTAGTCTGAGGGGTCATTCTTGGACTTCTTCTGTCTTTTGGGCTGCTGCAATTTTAACCAAGGTAAAGGGTTTAATTATTTTACTATAGAAAGATCATTAACTACCGGCAGGTCCTGGAATGTCAATTTTGCATAATTTAATTCGATGCACAATTTATGATAGCAACAGTTTTGAAACAAATCATATATATATATATATATATATATATATATATATATATATATATATATATATATATATATATATATATATATATACGAAAAAAAATTGGTTTCTAGATTATGATAAGCATCGGATTGTAAGATAACTGATAAATTAATTAGTAAAGTAACAATTAATCCCGCATTGTGCAAATGGAAAATAACGCTCAGCTAATCTTTTCAACGTTGTCTGAAATCAAAACTGGTTTGAAAATCACCATTGTGCAATTATATACAAGGTTTGTGATTTTTTTATTATAACAATACGTGTGTGGTTTTAGAAATAGGCACTTTGTATATATATATATATATATATATATATATATATATATATATATATATATATATATATATATATATATATATATATATATATATATATATATATATATATATATGTGAACTCTTTTTAAAAGCCATCAAAAAATTAATAAAACAGCTTTAATTTCTTGATTTTTTTTTTAAATAATTGTTTTCCAAATGTTTCTTAATAAATAAGATATTCAAGACAATGTTCTGAACACAACAATTTCGTTCTGTAAGATAGGCTGATAAAATTAATTAGATAGTGAAGTATCAATTGATTCCACAATATGCCAATGGAAATAATTCTCAAAACTGATTTTTTTAATTATCAGTGTAAGGTTGATTCTATGAATAACGTCATTGTGTTAGAAGAAAAGGACACTTTCAACTGATTAAAGACGAAATAAATTAAATTGAATGACAAACGTGATGACTTACATATTCCCTTATTTATGAAGCATTTTTTTGTATCTAGATGTTTTTGATTGATCGCTGTTAATGTTAAATTATTCTTTTTCACTGAAAAAAAAAATAAACAAATCGGCATTTTTAATGTTTGTACAACCATTTTGTTTCATCAAACTAAACAAATAATCAAAGTTGAAAAAAAATTTCAACAACCGATAAAAAAAAAATTTTTGTTTGAAAAAAGATAAATTGATTATTATATCATTATTTAACACTTCCAAAAGTTAGGTGAATGTATATCATTTTTTTGCATTTCAAGGAAAAGTATACTATTTGCTAATTATAAAGACGATGAGAGCCATTTAGAAATTAGGATTTATGACAAATATGATTACAGAATCATATTCCCTTATTTATATATTCTTTTGTTTGATGTTTTGATTGATCACTGTTAATGTTAAATAATCCTTTTTCATTGAAAAATAAACAAATCGGCATTTTTAAAGTTTGTTCTACGGTTTGCATTCATTGAACTAAACAAACAATCAATTAAAAAAATAAAAACGATAAAAATAGATAAATAAATAAGATAAATTGCATGCTAATAAAATGTGTAATATTAGAGTTAGATGAGTGTTTTTTTTTATTTAGAGACGTGTTTGTAATAATATAATGAAACAATAAACCTTCGCGATTCACAAATATTTACAGAATTTTAATCCAGTATATATACTCATTTGTTTGAAATTTTTGTTTTTCTCCCTTCCTACAGGGTTTTAAAGATTTTACTTGACGTTAAACGTAGATCGAATTAATATATTAGCTAACCAAAGAGTACAATTTTGCTTTAAATCCTTTGTAATATTTACAAACCTACACCTGAACCTCAAACAGCTATATTAATTGCAATGACCCATTAGATTACCAAAAAAATATATATATATTGAAGGAATGACGTGATTAGTACGTAATAGAGCACAAACCATGTGTACACTTTCAACACCTATTTTTGTACATAATTGATCCATTTTTTATTTTATTAATTGTTCCCTTAACATGGGCTTTCATAGTCTTGAAAAAAAAGCCTAGTAATTGGGGAAAAAAAGAATTTCTTTTTTTTTACTTCCAGATGCGTAGCTTGATTCTGCTTGCATTCATTGGTGTGTTCACAGCGCAAGTTTTCTCCCAACGCGTTGGTATGCTTTACATCTATTAAAGAATGCAATAGTGTGATTTTATATCTATCATAGAATGCAATAGTGTGATTTGCTGTTTATCTTTCTTTCGTGTATGCTTAAACAAATCTAACAAACCAAAATACTAAGAAATCCTGTAACATTTTATATGTGTATTAACATAATTATAAAATTTGAAATTCAAAGGTAATGTTGATAAAACCTTACCACCTAAAGATGGAGCAATAAGCAGAAGACCGAAAGTGGATGACAAAACTAAAGGACCCGGAGACGGAGGAATAACAAGACCAGTTGTCAATGTCAGAACGAGGCAACCAGGAGGGGTAACAAGAGGACCGGAAGTTGGAGATAGAACCAAGGGACCACGAAATGGTAGAGTTACGAGGAGACCTAAAAATGATGACAAGAAAAGGAAACCAAAGAAATTTATCAAAAAGATCAAGGGAGGTAAGTCTATTTAAAAAAGTGTTGCAGTTAGTGAGATATCCCAACATTTTTTTTCATTGTTAAATAATGCTTTTAACCTTTATCTCTTTAATAGGTAAAGGACTTGGAAATATGAAAAAAATGAAGCAGAGGTTTACAAGAAAAATGAAATCCTTCATGAAGATGAAGAAAGGCATGTTCAGGAAACAGAAACAAAATTAAACCAAGTGAACACAAGATTTAGAGTATATGCCTTACAGAACGTCTTCCAACGCACTTACCCTTTCTCCATGCAAAAATGTTTTTTAAAGCTATCAAAATCAGTTACTAATTTGAAAATAAAACAAAATATTTCATTTGTTTTTATTTTTTTATTCATATTAAAATTTATTTGCTATTAAAATCAAAAGTATATAGAATCTGAGTATATTTGCTATAGCATTTTTGAAATACGATTGATGTTGAATTCGATAGACACCTTATTTGATTTTCATCTCGTACATGTAATCAGTGTACCTAGCTCATACATTCTTTAGAGTCATCGAATGAACGATGGCGACAATGAACAGCAGATCGGAAGTAAACATACTTCTAAAATCATCATGATCAGAGATGGGATCAGGTGCAATGAAAGAAGCAAGCATCTCCTGTGGACCGATCACACTAGCCATGTTCTCCTAACCATGATCAGACAAACGGAGAGGTCCTTGAATGTGAAAAATGTTAGTCACATTCTGTAGTCACATAATGATGGTTATACGATTCATATTTGCTGATAATTAAGGCCATCTTATCGACCATGAAACTTGGAAAATGTTGATTTCAAACCGCGTGGCGCAGTGGTTAGAACGTCTTCTCTAGAGTCGCAAAGTAAGAGTTGATCATTACGTTGCGGGTTGAATCCCACAGTGGGGCGAGGAGACCGGTCCTTCATATGAGACCGTATAAACAGAGGTCGCTTGCTGCAATAGGTGCTGGCACGAAAAAGATTCCTCTCAGCTCAGTGGCCCTGAGTGCCGAGTATAGGACAGAATTTGTAGTTCTCAACCGGGCAAGTGGTGGCGTCTCCATATGAGTGAAAAAATCTTGAGGGGGACGTTAAACAACATATCTATGCAAACAAACAAAATCAAACAAGAATTAAGATGTTGGTGTCCTTGTTTCATATATTTAATAGATTTGTTCGTTAATAGCTATAGCTATCATTGCTTTAGATATTGTTCGTACGTAGAACATCCTCTTGCGTATCAAATCATCTGGAAAACAATACCAGTAACTCCATAATTATGCATGTAAAAAGGGGATATTGCAATGTTAACTTTTACATCAATTTATTTCTCTCATTAGTTACAACTAATAAGAGAAAGAAATTGACGATGAAAAGGTTTAAAGCACAAGTTTATCATGAAGTTCTGTTAGGTTGCCATTCGAAAAATGATTGATTGATTGCTTATGTTGTTTACGGTCCCTCTCGAGAATTTTTCACTCATAAGGAGACTCCAACATTTGCCACTGGTGGAGAGTTGCAAAACAGTGGAATCAACTCCTTACTTTACGGGCTGCGACTTTACGACTCTAGAGCAGACGCTAACCACTGCGCCACGCGGGTGACCATAGAGTGGGAAAAAAAAGATTTTACAAATGATCATCGACAAGCATAGAAAATTTACGAGCTCTATTCTAATTAATAATCATGACCTTTTTTCAACATGTAAGTTTTAAAACATTTCAAAGTAACACGACACCAGCTTTTCGGAACCTTATACGAGGGCTGTTCAATAAATAATGTCCTGAGTTCTATGACATAGAACATAGAAATCATATGGCATTAAGCTTGACTTTTTCTAATGATTGAATCTTTGATGAACTGATAACAGTTCATGTGACCACTTTTCATCTGATAGTTTCATTGTGAGAAGCTGGAAAACATGGGTTAATCGAGAAGTGCATTAATAAATGAATGGTAGAGAATCCGTAAACTAGAGTGAAATTAAACGCTTCATTAAAGCTCTGGCCAGTAAAACTCGTTAAGAATCCCAATTAAAGAAATATTCACTGAAATATGTGAAATATACAACAACCAATGTCTGTTTTATAGACACAAGAGCAGGTGAATTTTAATGAACAAAAATGCTGTAATGGGCTTCAAAAATTGGTACCGTCCTTGGCGACAAGGGCTTACAACAACCAATGTATTGTTTGCCAAAAATTAAACAAATTATCAATGATGATGTTTGATTGACTTTAAGACACCTAGCAAAATTGAAAAGCTTTATTTTGGGGGTAGTTTACACTGTTTTGAAGAAACGTTTGACAGTAAAAAAGCTTAGTATTCAATGGTCACCCTATGTTTTAAAAATGAGTGAAAACGAATGCGTGTAAGAATATCTCAACAATTATTTTAATAATCAAGAAAAATCAAGAATTTTAGTTATCCATGTTTGTCTGAAATTAAAACATATAATGAAACTTGAATCCATTGCTATAAACCCTCAAAACAAATTTACAATAAGATGCACTTGACAAAAACAGCCAAAGTCTGAAAAGAGCAAAGCATTGCAAAAGCACAGAAACAGACAGCAATTTTCTTAAATAGTATTGGTCTTGTTGTTCAAATTCTTTTTCGGAGAGGCAGTTCAATTTCTGGAGAATTATACTAAGCAAATTTTTGCCAAAAAAAAAAAAAAAATCAAAAGATTTATGAGAGGATCAAAAACCAGAATCAGGAATCAACTACATTAATTTTTTTCGTGATAACGTCCAAGCACACACGCCATGAAGAGTAAAGGAGTTTTGGGGATAAACAGATAGTTGATGTTTTGTCACACCAACAATATTCGCCAGATCTTTCATCTTTGATTTGTTTCATTTTCCAAACTTGAAAAATACCTTTCAGAAAGGAGAAACAAGTCCAGGAAATCACAGGATCTGCCACATTCCAGTATACGAAGGGCCATACTTAAAAATATGTTCTAAAACAATCAGAAATTGGATAAAATGTTACGGACATGCATTTTAATCAAAAGAGAATATCTGAGTGAAATCATTAAGACTAAATCATTGAAAAGCGGTTTTGGTTTGTTTCCGAGCACCGAGGACATTATTTATTGAACATCCCCCGTATATGCACAAATTCGATGTCTTGAGCGGTCATTCCTTCAAACAATACAAAAATTGACATTGCAAGCATGTCAAACGAAGAATAATTATTGATAAATACTAGAAGCATCGTACTTATGATAAGTAAGTAAGTAAGTAAGTAAGTAAGTAAGTAATCATTTATTATAGTGACATTGTGCATATAGACATTTCTATAAACATTATAAACAAAATACGTCAGACTGAATTTGCACCCGGCCCACTGGACCTATAAGTCACTTTTTCCATTAATTACATTTATATAAATTTACACATGCAGAAGATTCTTTCTATGGTTAAATGCTGTATGGACAAATTTGGCTAATTTTATCTGGTAATTTTGGTTTAAAATTTTAAACAAATAATCATAAGATGTGATCAAGATTAGACCTTTTATTAAAATTTGGTTGACATTTATCCAGAAACGATCTGAGAATGTCGCGTCCGGTTGGAGGTGGCGGGTTTCCACTTTTCATAATTAATGGCGTCAGTTTGAACTCTGGACATTTTCTCGGCATGTCAAATACCAAAATCGTGAAAAACGACTGGAAAACATAAAAAATGTATAATGGTACAAACAGCAGTCATGCTCAAAGGCCCATTGAAACGATAAAAATTATAATAAAACAAAGACGGACCTCTAGAAAACTCAAAGGTGGGAACAGGTGCCATAAAGAAGTACCGTATTCCTCTGTCGACCAGTCACATCCGTATGCATATAAATTAAAAACTGTATTCAATGTGAATATATATACAGCCTTAACAATTTCTATAGAAAACGACAGTCTTCATATGTCTGAATAGCAGACTGAAGTGCACTCACTGACTTTTACATGTGCGCAAATTTTATTCTTGCGTGATGTGTAAATATAATTTCTGCGATGCGTCTACATATATACACTCTCAATTCAAAGTATTTTGTAAATGCTATGACAAAATAATTGTTGATATTCAACTCAATATTCTTCCCACATACTGAAAATTAAGAACTCTACCATTTCTTGCTTATCTTGACATAATCATGACAAGGACCACACGGCGGCTATGGTCGGCCGACAGGGGATGCTCACTCCTCTAAGGCACCTGCTCCCACCTATGATGTTTTGGAGGTCTTTGTTTGTTCTGCTCGCGATTTGTATTGTTTTGGTGGACCTACGAGATTGATTGCTGTTCATTATTTATAAAAGATCATATTGTTTTATAAGAGAAAAAATATTTTGATGAGTCATGATCAGGGGAAAAGTATGAATCAGGCCCTATCTTTGCCAAATTAACTGAATAGAAAGAATATACATGTATTATATGAATAATAAAGATACAAATAGGGTTGAGAAACTTTAAAACAATTTATTTTGAGAATCCAAAAAAAAAATTAAAAATTGGGAAGATTTTTTCCTCAATTGACCTGATCCCACCTCTGATAAATTTGAAAATGGACTTATCATGAGTTTTTGAAAATTAATTATCTCCATATTTCATCAAATATGTTACTTTCATTGATTGAACTTAATGAACTTAATATCTAATATTAAAAGATTCTTTAATGAAATTAAGGTGGCTCATATTTTCTCAAAATAATTTCAGTATTTGTGTTCTTGTGTAAATCTTGCCAAGCGTTCACGAATTAGGACTTTTATTGTCATCTCCCTCGGGAGATGACACATTAAGATTGTATGCCGGAAGTGAAGTCCTAGTGTAGGCCTCCATTAATCTCTCGAGAGTCCTCGATGTTTTACATAGTTCCAAGTAGCCTGTAAACTGGTTTTCTTTTAGAAGAACTAGCTTAGGAGTGTGTGATCTACTTTTGGTTTAGGCCTATTTGAAAGCCAAGGAAAATTTAGAAAAGAAGTACGATGCTTATAAATATCTCTAGTTTCGGTGTGTCTTATATACATTGATCCTCAGTACTATGCCTTATTAAATGGGTAAGCCACACAAGGAGAATTGACAATGACGCGATTTCTATATATAGATTTGTTGACGGGAAGCGAAAACTGGTTCTCGCACAAAAGAACAAGCTTACAAGTAGATTCTGCAAGATAATGCCGTTCAGGTCATACAGTGTATGTTTTATAGACTAGAATTCAAAATGTAAAGTATAAAATTATACACTTCTATTATTATAACCTTTTAAATATCTTATTATAAATGCACTGATTCAAATATGAAATATGATCAGTCAGGACATTATACAGTAAATCTACGTTAATTGTCAGGACAATTGATTTTAACACCTCTATAACAAAGAATAATTTCATTTCAGTTGAAAACAATTTACGTTTTTAGTTTAGAGAAATATATAAAGTTATTTTCAAAATAGTTGGGCATTTAGCTGTTTAGTAGAAATAATCGGTCGAGTCTGAAGTATAGACATGGTTGCATGGTCAGGTCTTTACTTCAGAAATGATCGGTGAGGTCTTTGGTAGAAATGGTCAGTCAGGTCAACGAGGTTATTCACATCAAGACAATCATATGGTTAATATAATATTCAAAAAAGATAGCTATCATTAATTATTTCTATTTGGTCAGGTCATTTCATATTTGGTCAGGTCATTTCTTTAATTATATTTGGTCAGGTCATTAAATTTAAATTTCATGATCATGATGATATACTGGGAAAACTGTTTCTAGAAGCATTTAAATTTTACCAAAAGTAATAAACATCATAATGAAGAATATTTTCTAAAATGTATCTAATATTTAAAAAAAAAGAAGCTATTATCAATGATTTTTATTCGGTCAGGCCATTTCATTTTTGGTCAGGTCATTTCATATTACCGGTCAGGTCATTAAAATTCCTTGTTATAAGCTAATAATTGAGGTAAAAAATGATTCTAAAACAATTTTATCCAAAGTTTTAGCCATTATAATGAGGATAATTCTGTAAAACTTATCAAATATTTAAAAGATATAACTATTATTGATGATTTTGGTTTTGGTCAGGTCAATTCATATTTGGTCAGGTCATTTCATATTAGGTCAGGTCATTAAAATTCCATGATATAAAATAACACTTGAGGTAAAAATGATTCTAAAACCATTTTATCCAAAGCATTAACCATTACAATGAAGAAAATTTTTAAAAACTTATCAAATATTTAAAAAATATAACTATTATTGATGATTCTGGTTTTGGTCAGGTCAATTCATATTTGGTCAGGTCATTACATTTCCATGAAATGAACAGATAAATAACAACAAATATGGTGAAAATGTGTATATTAATAATTATTTAACTTAATTTTATATTATTATCAAGAAAATATTCTAAAAAATATGATAATTGGTCTTATAATAGTGATTTTGACGAATTTTATGTTGGTCAGGTCAGTCAGGTCTTTAGTAGGTCAGGTCTTTAGTATCTCCCAGAGATAACTCTATTGTGAAAATCACCACATCACAATTGATACCAAAGAGATGACATTTCAGGCTTTCTGGAAAGCCAAACTTGTACTTTTTATTAAAAAGATAATTAAAAGAGAAAGATGGATTATAAATAAAAAGGATTTATAATCAGCTACCAGTATCATAGATATTTGAAAATTATTTAGTTCGCGCCAATGTAGGAAGTTATTAATAGTAACAGAACTGGTCAAACCGGAAATGGTCATTGACAATTAAGGACATCACAACTTGAAAAAAAAAACATAAACATATACACGTGGACTACACGTGCACATGCATTCACCACACGCCAAAACAAGTACGCACAATAAAAATAATTAAAACATGGCTGGTTGATTGCATTTGTTACGGGATTTTTAGTGGGCATTTAAATTGTTATATATTGTTGTTTTATATGTATTTACGTACATTCACTTATTTTCTTTAATAATAAAGGAACCAATACCCATTAATCAATCAATTGATCTCTAAACTAGTTAGAACTGGTTTTTAAAGCCCTATACACTGTATGTACATATGACAGGTGGGTTTTCATAAACAACTGAATCAACAAAACAAACATGTTTATCAGGAATCCCCCTATACTATTATCATAATGAGGACTAATTCATGAACATGAGACTTACACATATTTTAAAGAAAATAGAATTTGTGATTTTTAATTGACGCAATTTAAATTTAAACTTAAAAATCACAAAAAAACATAGCTCAACGTTTGGTTTTTATGAGACGACCTAAGATGGTTGGGTCAATCAGGACATTAACCTCATCGGGGCATTATACCTTGCCTGGTATACGGTAAATCTAGTACCACGCATCATCCGGATTTCGGATAAAATAGCTTTCATACTGCTCAGAATTAATTGCTATTGAATTAAATGCACAAACTTCGACCAACAAATCAATGATACGTAAACTGGTTAAATGCATTTTGAAATTTACAAAACTCCTGACCTTTTTAGACGGGGTCACGTGACCCCGTCTATTAGTTTACTGTCAGAGACCCTCAAAAAGGAAGCCGTGGTGATAACACATGATTTAAAACGCTATATGAAAGAGTGCAGAAATTGTTTTGATCAAAATATAAAATTTTGTATCAAACTGAAGAAAGTGATATGAACTTATTTCTAAATCAAATTAATGAAGCATTTTTTAAATGTAAACTCAAAATATTAATTGTAAAACACCTTAAACAAAGTACTCTCTTGCGTAGTATTACGACTGCGTACGTATGCATCAACCATTGGTTACTTCCGGAGAAATATTAGTTCGGACCATGTGAAATTCGGACAATTTAACAAGGTTTCTAGACTTAGCAATTATAGAAATTTCTACTTCAAATTAAATGAAAAAAATGCGATTTTATATTATTCATGATTTTGTTTTTAGCTTGTTAATAAAATTTTTTTTATCAAAACTCGTTACAAAAATCACATTTGTGAAATCTAGCATGAAAATGATTTTGACCCAGTCTTTCAGTACTGTCTCAGTATTTTGATTTTTTTTTGCGTTTAATTAAGCCTTCCCATAATCCATACAGTGACGTTAAAACTGACAAATTCTTCGAGACTAGCTATTTCCCATACAAAGCACGTAGTATCATATATAAATTACATGTATTATACACCTTTAAGAATGCAAAAGACAATCTTCTTTTTATTTTATACACAATATGCGTATTTCAGTATGATCTAGACATTTGTCAAGTGTGTGGGCAGCTAGTTTTTGATAAATTAAATTTTATAACAAATAAATGCATGCGCGAAGAACAAGACTGACAAATGGACACTCTCCTTGTTATTTAAATTTAGTTCTAACAGACTTTAAATCCTGACCAGGAAAAACTATGTAGATAAAATATTTGAGAAAAATACATGTATGGAAACATCTTTCTAAGCAAAAGTGAAAATTGTACTAAGTACAATACTTAACTATATATCATCCCATGATGGTATTGTCTACAGGGATGAATATCGGATTTATTTATAATAAAAAAAAATTATTTAATTATATTGTTTACAAAACAAAAAATAAGCGCTTCGTGCGTTACGTAAAAATGGATTAGAATGACGTAGAGTGGCCTTACAAATGTAACTTTACGACACTGGGGCCCGTTTTACAAAAGAACTAACGACTAAGACCAAAATTTATTCTGCTTGTAACTTTCATATTTGCATGAAACTGAAAATGGGTTTGAACTTTTTAAAAGGAATGTAGAGAGATATTTTCATGATGGTAATGTTAAACTCAATCATTAATTCTGCAAAATTTTACAATCAACTAAATTTTTTGGTCGTAGTCGTAAGTTCTTTTGTAAAACGGGCCCCTGGCCCCTTATACAAGCTTATTTAATATTACTTCGCATAGATATTCAAACACGTCGTAATCATACAACGTTTTCGCGCTTTTCTCCGAAACGCGGGAAAACTCAATGATTAGTAGAAACTGGGAGAAATTTAAGGGGATTTTCGAAGTTAAAGGATTTAGTTATAGAAACAGAGCTACACAATAGCCTACCTCTTCATAAAGTTTTATGTATATTATAGAGCTTGATGTATATAATTAACCTAACACCCCTTTTTTCTTGTGAAAAAGTGTTTGCTAAACTAAGTGTAGCGCTCCACCCCACTAGCTCTTAACTAAAATTGCTGGATGGGTTTTGCGCTCCAGACTAAATGTTTTTTTTTTCAATACACTTAAAAGTTGTTAAAATAAAAAGATTCAGACACTTCCCGACAAGAAAACCCCACATTTTTTTCAAATGTGATTGTTCTTCACTGAAAGTATCAGAATCTTTTATTTTAACAACTTTTAAGTGTATAATATTGAAAGTAGATTCAAAATCTTAATTTATTTTACATTTGACAATCCGGAAGACAAGCCCCTATATGGCATAAACTGGATGAAATTATGTAAAAAATGTCCTATCTCATGTTACAGCTTTTGCAATCTTAAGTTACACGCAGCTTTTTGCAAACTGGTTGTACCTCTTTTGATTATAATACGGGAGTCAGTTGTCCTGTTTACAATTTAACATTTGGATTGGTTTTAATAAAAGATTGTTTATATATATCATATTTGAATTCATTTCAATATCTATTCCTTTGAATATTTTCTCTTTTATTGCTTAAAATGAAAAAAAAAAGTGAAAACAAAAACGTGTCCAATCTCACATATCGTCAAATTGGGGATTTAAAACCCGGCCCTACTTAGTACTAGATTTACCGCCTTCTCAGAAGTTGGTCAATACCAGCTAGAACCAGAAGCGGACTATTAACATGATTAAAATAATTTGAGTCTGCATTATCATTATGTCAGACTGTAATGATTGTTAGGTTTATCACGAAGACACTATTTGCGAAGCCACGGACAAATTTTCTACTTAATAAGATGGAGGATTCCAAAGTCAGAGCTTTATGTGACGAATTCTGGGACTGGAGGATGCGTCAAAGTCCGGAGTTTGCCTCATTCTGCGGAGATCAGAGATATTGTCATCTTTTGGATGATATCGACCCAGACAATTTTGAGGAGTTTGAGGTAAATTTTGAGTTATCAACCACATGACATGGTGTATTATTTAATCTTTAATTAGACAGTATTAGAAATAATTCAGAGCCTAGTATTGATAATGTAGATGCATGCCTAACCTTAGAATTCAGTATTTTTTAATTTAAAAAACAGTTGTGTGTTGACTCTAAACCTGTTCTATTCAGTTACACAAGGTCATCCATTTGAGTTTTTTTTTCATATAATTTTTATGTGAAATGTTAACTCAGTGAGATTCATAGAGACTTGTAACAGGATAGGAGGAAATGTATGGCTACTGACCGGGAATCTAACCCAGGACCCCTGCATCACTGGTCATTGGTCAAGTGGTCATGTGCTCTACATATAGCTATCGAGGGAGATATCCATGGCCAAAAGCATTACATTCCCCCCACCTTAAATGGTATATGGCCTCAGAGCCACAACCCAAGTTCTTCATAATTAGCCCCTGGCAGAGCTTTCACCTGCAATTCCAAGTTCAATGGCACCATATATCGATCTGAAACGGAAAAGGAGGAAATGTATGACTGGACCAAACTATTACAGACTAAAAGTTTTGGTCTGGTGTCTCTGTGAATCTCAGACTTAGTGTGGAAGCATTCTTGGTAGTGTAGATTCTAAATTTTACAAACCATGAACCCCCTGGGTAGGAAGGGCTGGAATAGGGAATCCAAATTTACATTGAAAAATGTAGGAAAAATCTTTAAAACTCTTCTTCTCAATAACCACTGGGCCAGAAAAGCTGAAACTGATGTGGAAGCATCCTTGGGTAGTGTAGATTCTAAATTGTCCAAATTAAGACCCCGTGGGGTAGGGTGGGGTCACAATAGGTATTACAAAGGGGAGGAGGCATCTGGTAAAGAAGAACAGGTTTACTCAGGTGAGCGATGTGGCCCATGGTCCTGTTGTTTCCAATGGCATTTGGATAATTGGATTCTGGACAGAAAATGCAAATATATACAGCGTATTAGATGCATGGTGTATATTTATGTGATGTGAGTTGCCAGTGACCAGTCCTGTTGTTTAAGGGGCCAATGGCATTTGATATAATTGGCCATGTCCCTGAAAGACCTGCCAGAGAATCGGAGTATATATAGAGGCCAAAGACCTTTTAGATGCATCGTCGCCAGTATATTTATGTGATGTCTGACCAGAGATTCAGGGGGTCTGCAGGGGTGTGCAGTGACCAGATAAAGTTACTAGCCCCAAGTGAAAAGTTACTAGCCCAAATATAGGGGCAAAAATTAAAATAAAAAACAATACATTGAAAAGAAATTACTTGTTGAAAAATGCAGGGTACTGAGGTCATTCTTTTTAAAATTAAAGTTTAATTCTCACTATGAAATTAAATCATGTATAAATTATAATGAAAGAAGATTAAAATGAATTTAAATAAATTCTTTCCCATTTTTCTGAACATTGCACTAGCTCATTTAGAATGAAATTTAAATTTTGTATTTGGTGTATTTTTGCCATGTAAAACCTTAGCTTTCAGTTAATTGAGTGATCGTAAATAATTTCAAGATACCATGTATTTACCATAAACGAAAGAGGGAAATTGGCGGAAAAAAGATGTTTTCAGGAGGCCAAAGACCTTAAAGGTGAGAGGAGCATGTGGTGAAAACTTTTCACTGATGGGAATTTGATAGCAAAAACGAGTGAAAATGCAGGTTGTGCTTTTCATGTATTGCTTGTGTAGTTATAATTTTTACATGAAAATCACTAGCCCGACCCCAAAAAGTGATAGCCCCGGGCGTCGGGCGATGCTAATTGCACACCCCTGGGTCTGGGTTCGAATCACAGTCTGGTCCATTTGCATATTATAATTATAGTACTACTCTTACATCCTTTTTGTATAATTTACCATAATGATAAAAAAAGTTATAGCCTCTTAAATTCAGAATGGTATTAAATGATGTAAAATGAAGAGTGTTTTACTATTTATTACCTTCTTGTTGGAAAAACTTTGCATAAACATAACTAGTTTTGTAATTTATTTATTTTCAAGTGCTAAGCCCCTGCATATGCCTTTGTTTGTTTATCTCATTTGATTACATGGAAGGCAAAGGGATTTATCAGTTTTATTATACATATGTAGGTTACAACTTTGTTTATTTTATTTTACAGGAAGATGTTTCCAAAATGTTAGAGAAGGCAGAAGCAATTGAAGTAAAGAATTGTTCCAAACGTGCCAGGAATGCCCTCTTACTTGTGAAGGATCAGATGGACACATTTGTAGATGGAATGAAGCATAAGTGGTTAAGCAATAGTAATATTTACTTCAAGGATCACAGATATCATTTGTTTTAGGCCAACAATAAAAAATGATTTGTTTGAATAACTCAGACCAGCCAATCAAAATTGCCCCTCCCCCCAATCATTTTTTCAGCTCTTTGTATTTAAATTTTTTTTTTAGCAATAAATATTTAAATATTTTTACGATGGCCTTAGAGATACTGACAAAATGGTCAAAATCTAACAAATCATAGAAACTATATCAATTTATACAGTTGAACTTCGGTATCTCGAACACCAGCTTTGTCTCGAATACAGTGGATATGTCAACGTGATTTGGAAGTCCCAACCACTTACCGGTATTCTTTAAGTATTTTAACTTTGATTTCTCGAATCATCAGATACCCAGGTTTTTCATACTCCTAGGTCCCACTGAGTTCGAGATAACATTTAACAAACAATCTTAGAAGAATGGTTAATATATTCAGTGGCATGAAATGTAGTAAACAGCTTAATCTTGATGAATTTTAGTAAGGAAAGAAATATAATATCCAGTGTAATTTTTTCAGCTGGTATTTTCCAATCAACTTTATGGATGGGTTGCATGCAGATGCTCCTAAAGTAATGAGTACCTGCCCAACCAAAACAGAAGAAGACTTCAAAAATCTGAATAAAAGAATTAGATGTTATGAAAAGAAGGTGAGTTGGTGATCTTTATACTGTAAAACGAGAAAAATTGGCGCATAAGCACTTTGGCACAAATGCAAGTAGGAATGCATTGACGCAAATAAATTTTAGTGCTTGCACTGTCATTAAAATATGTAAATGTGATATTGTTTTCTTTTATCTATGCCCGTATTTGACTTTTTGGTTAGTCAAGCATGGAAACACATAGCACTCCCGTATATAAGTAACTTGACATTCGTCAACTTGACCATGGTGTTACAGTCACATGAGCGTGGCACAATGTCTATTTTATTTTAATTTTTTTTAAAAAGAAAACGATGAGTATTTACGCAATTTATCCATATTAAAACAATGCATGCATTTAAAGGAAGTTGCATGTACTTAGATACATTGTAAATGGTAATCAAAATCAGGTATTGTCTGCAAGTTCAATCGCCATGCTTGATTGCAATGTTTACCTCGAGGCGATAGATGATTGACACATGAGACGCCAGACTTTGAAGGTGCTAATTATACTATGTAAGTATCGGGTAACAACTAACAATAGTTTAATTAAATTATAATTTGGCAGAACTTTCTCTATCGATCCTACAGTGCTAGTTTGTATATAAAAATCCAATGACCCTTCGACATTACGTAATCGTACGTTCCGGTTTACATGTACTTATGTGAAAACTTTGAACACACACAAAAAGTAATATTTAGAAATCCATTAGCGCACAATAAATTTTAGCGTCATGGGGCATTTACGTCAAAGGCGCTAAAATTAGTAGTGCGCCATATATTGTCGTTTTACAGTATGCAATACAATGAATACATGTACCATAAAAATTGTGAATACGGTAATTACAGAAAAACAGTTTAGTACAAACACGGATTTTGCGAATTCAAAGATATAGTGAAGTTATTTTGGATCCCCAGCTATATAAATTTAACGAATTCCTTACATGGATATAACGAATTAAGGATATAGCGTTGCTTGAAAATCAATAGACCATAACAAAATCAGGAGAGTTATTTGTATAAAAGCCAAAATTATACCTGTTGTTTAAAGTTTCAGCTATCGATTATATTAGAATACAAAAATACAAATTTTCGAGTAAACCTTCAGTTTTGCTTTATAAGCATAGTTTTGTAGCTATTGTTAACTTTTGGAGTAGAGATTTTTTGTTTTCTTGTAGGCCAAAAGTTGTATACACCTTCTGAAAGAGGGAGTGGACCACGGTCATGTTAACCATCTATACTCAATAGTAAGTCAAATTTATACTTCACTTCTGTAACTTATATAAAAGATGAAATGATGATATGGACAGTTATATTGTTGGACGAAATGGTCTATTATTGTTGTGTGTACCATTTAGGAGGGTGTACCAGATCAGTTAGATCTGTTGATCAGTGCTGAACTGACTCCAGAAACAGATGTTTTTCTAGCACCTTACAAAAAGTTTCCTGCATCCATTGATCCCTCTATAAAGTAAGTGAAATAAAACTTACAGAAATTACTCAGTTCATTTTCTCAAACTTTTAAAGACTGAGATTAGACTTGATTTAGTCACTGGAGATTGTTTAGCATCAATGCTTTTTAGATTTATAGTGGTCATAAATTCATGGGTCTCTTCATGCCTCAAAAACAACAAAAATTGAACTCCAAGGGAAAAATAGTACATTGTAACTTCACCATAAATACAGACCTGTGAATAATTATAAAACAGAATGATTCAGGGTCTGTGAAAAAGAGAAAAATTCTGTTATTTTATATTGAACATGGTGCATTTTATTTTTTTGCAGGTCTGAGACAATAGCTCAATTAAGTGAATACATCTAATCAAAGATTGTCCAGTTTCTGTCTTACATAGTGTGCTCTAAATGTTCCCTACTGATGAAAAAATCCTTATAGTTCAAATGAAAAACCATGTCCTCTTTTAAAGGGAGATAATGTAGAAATTTGGTTGTTTTCTTTTTTTTTTTCCTCAAAAACCAAAGAAAAAAAGATGAAATCACATATGGAGGTTTAATTTTTATTGGTCTTGTAGTATATTTTTGGTTTACAACAAAATGCTATTTTTTTAAATACTAATAAGAGTATCATGTGTCTTCTATAACCACTGAATTAAATCTCCTCAATCCAAAATTTTTTTCAATCCTCAAAAATAAAATCGCAGTAATTTGAAAGCAGAACACAACAAATACATATATATATATTTTTGTTCATTTTTGACTTCAGAGAACAACTTTTAGAAGAAGCAAAAGACATAATCCAAAACATTGTAAGACCAGCATTTAAAGAACTGGCTGAATATATAGAAAATGTAAGTATGTAATTAGGACCCTGCAGTGCATGTACCTTAAAGTTATCAATTTGTCAATCTGTTTATATGTTTCCTTTTCAACCTATCTTGCTCATACTCTGAAAGTGCCCATGCATAAGTATAGGGTATGCAATGACCTTGATTTAAGTTCTAGACTTAAGGTCAAAAAACGCCAGTGTAAAACACTTGACTGCATCATATTTTCCCTCCCTTGGGCCTATCGGGTTCATTCTTTACTTTGTTAAATTCCCAGTTGTAAAGCAATGACCTTCAACCATATTTAAGCCAGAAGTCAAAGTTCTGAGCAAATTATTTTTCTTGGATATTTTTTCATGGATCTTGATTTACCTGACCAGTTCTTGTGATTAATTTGTTTGCAGTGACCTTAAACCAATGTCAAAGCAGTACTCTGTGTAAAAATTGAGGATTTCAAGGTCAAAGCAGCCTTTTTTTATCAATTAAGACAAATGTTAGACTTTGTTCTTGGGCCTATGTAGCAAATATTTACCCCTAAGAGTGCCCTCAGGTATTAAAAGTGCACAGAGTGTTTGAATTATATATATTCTTAACTTATTATGCGCCCGGATCGATAGATCCGAGGCTTATATTGTTTTTGTCCTGTCTGTTTGTCTGTTTATCTGTTTGTCTGTCTGTCTGTTGTCAACTTTAACCTTCGCCGTAATTTTTGAACCATGAAAGATACAGACTTCATATTATGTTTGCATACTCCACCAATAAAGTTCTTTCGAATGACACCAAGGTCAATGACCTTGGGACCTTGACTATGACCTATTTGCTAAAAATAGCTTCTTTGAATTTTCGCCATATCTTTTGAACCATGAGAGATAGAGACTACATATTTGATATGCTTACTCCACCAGTGACGCTCTTTCAAATGACACCAAGGTCAATGACCTAGTGATCTTGACTGTGACCTATATGCTAAAAATAGATTTTACAAAATTTTTGCCATAACTTTTGAACCATGAGAGATAGAGACTTCGTATTTGGTGTGCATACTCCACTAATGAAGTTCTTCAAATGACACCAAGGTCAATGACCTTGTGACCTTGACTTTCACTTATCTGCTGAAAATAGTTTTTTTAAACTTTGTTGCCGCCGGCGCATAGTGTTTCACAAACACATCTTGTTTTTAATGTTAAAAATGTCATGATTTATTTAACAAATGATTTCCTTAAATGTGCATGCTTACAGATGGAGTTTTTCCTATGTGGAGTTCAGGAAAGATCATGTTTACCTTGACTTGTTCTGTTCCATTCTAGGATTATATGAAGCACTTGCGTGAAGATATATCCATTCACTCCCTCCCGAATGGGGAGGAGTTATACCAGGATTGTCTAGATTTCCATCTTTCTTTCTCAATGACCCCACAGCAAGTGTTTGACATTGGGACGGCAGAGGTGGAGAGAATCACGCAGGCGATGCACAAGATCACCCTTGAGGAAGGCTTCGGAACAGATATTATGAAGTTTAAAGAAGACATAGTCAAGAGGGAGGAGTTCCATTGCAAAACTCCTGTAGGTTTATTTGGTTTTTTACATAGGAATCATGTTGTGGCTATACAGTAAAACTCGGTTATAGCGAAGTCCTGGGGACCTGCGAATTTACTTCCCTATATCCGTAATTTGTTATATCCGTATAACGAATTCTTATAACCATATGTAGCGAATTCGCAATATGAATGTTTTCTCTCAAGTATTAGAACCAAATATGTTAGTGAAGGAAATGACAAAACAAACGTTCGATATCTAAGGTTTTATTATGAATCGAATTTTATATACAAATGCTACAAGAAAAAAATTAAGTTTGTTCAATTTAGCAAATTTTGAGATCTTTGAAAGTTCTTTATAAAAGATGTAAATTTCATTATATTTAACCTCAACGGGTCTCAAAATCAGTTTGCTATATCCGTAAATTCGTTATATCAGAGTTCGTTATAATCGTAAAATTTTACAAAGATTTGTTAAGAACCAAAATTCGCTATATCCGTAAATTCGCTATATCCGTGTTCGTACTAAACAAGTTTTACTGTATAAGCATGTTTGAAATATAAAATTGTTTTTTTTTCCTATGCCATTCTCACATTTGTTCTCTTTCTCTTTTACAGGAGGAGCTGATAGCTTATGTCAAACATATATGTTTTGACCAGATTCAACCAAAGTTACCACAATTATTCTTTGAATCTCCAAAGTCCAAGCTAAAGTAAATGTTTCTCTTGCTCTCTCTTTGTCTTCTCATCAGGAAAAGATTAAGAATGTGAGATCTGAATATTGATTAAGAAAGTACACTATAACAGGCTTATATTGAATTGACATTTACAGCCAAGTGATAATCATTCCCCTTGGCTGTAGAATAAATTTTGAACTCGGCGATTCACTTTTATATTGAAGAAAAATCGTCTGTCCCAGGAACTTTGTTATAAGCTTGTTTTTACTGCTTTATTTTTCTCTCTACTTCATGCTTATAGATTTAGTATAATTTTTTAGCTTGTTATCTGTACACAGTACAAGATTATCTGTTGAAAGGAGAATAAAATACTATGATAATTTACTATACTGTTTTATTTACCGTTAGGATTGAGCCGACTCCCCCGCTGATGGATGATGGGCCTGTGGCATTCTACTTCAATGGTTCCCCCGATGGCTCTAGACCTGGTGTGTACTATATCAGTACATCTAACTTGGAAGTAAAGTATGTCATAAGAAACATTTACAGTGCTCATACAGTGCTCCTGATAAATGTCTATCAACCCTGCTGACTGTTAATGCTCACTGGAAACGTGGACATTTACATGTTAAAAAGATATTTTTAAGGAAATATGCGATTAAATTTTTTTTATGCAAATGCCTTTAATCATATTTGATTTGGTTTTCACAATGCATAAGCCCTGTATGGCAGGAAAAACCCTTAAAATTATATCCCACTTCTTATTTGTGTAATAAGAGAGTGTAAATAGCCAAGTTTGCAGTATATGAATCGCAGGCACTTGTTTTGTGTACTGGACACCCCTTACTTATTTTACCACAAGGCACTTAAGTCATTTTACTAATTATTACTTATTAACTTACTTTAGAATGATAATGTTTGCTTCAAGAGACTTTTTTTCTTGTCTATTAAATTGTTTAAGACATCTCTGGTAGAGCCTCTTTATTGTAAACCACTCATTTATTCCTGAAAATTACATCAAGACATTTTAAGACTAGATGGGATTCAACTTTCGGGTTGGGGGTACAATAAACCCAACCAAAAAGTATCCCATCCAAAGTTTAATATGTATCAAGGTCTAAAATAATTTTTTTGACAAGAAACAAGTCTCAAGAAGCAAATGATGTCACATTTTAAAGTAGGTTAATGATTGATGTAGTAACTAAATATGAGCTTGAAGCAGGGGTGCCTGAAAATTATTAAAAATAAGCAGGGGTGTCCTGTATTTGAAATAAGTGCCTGTGACATGAATGCTACTTTCTGTGAACTTGGTGCAGTATAGTAATTTTTGTGTAATTTATTTTCAGTCCAAAATATGAACTACCAGCTTTGTGTTTACATGAAGGAGAGCCTGGGCACCATTTTCAGGTCAGTATCTGGGTTGATTTATGAAGTCTGACACTCTGATATACATGTATGTTAGGTGTGTCACATGCTCAGGGAGAAAGTTGTTTTAAGTATCCATTATACTAGATCCAGGAGTGGTTTATCTCGAGGTTTTTCCTCGGCCCCATCGAGTTTGAGATTTGACTGTATATTGAATTTAAATGTCCATAGTAATTTTAATAAAAGGATGTTGCTTTATTATGAAAAACATATGAAAATAAAATCTTGCATATAAATAAATTGCAAAACTAAACTTGTTTGATGCCTTGGTTGCAGTTTTTAGTGCTTTGAATTAGGCCTGGTTCAATGGTATCTTCAACATATCATTTTCCCAGGTTTCTGAAAGAAATTTTACATGACTGTGTGAACTATTTAAAATTTTTAACAATATTGACTCTAGGGAATGATTTCTATGGAAATGAAGGAGCTACATGCTTTTAGGAGAGCCAACGAAGATCTGAATTATGCTTGGGTACCTTCTAGATTTCCAATGTATACTGCATATTTAGAGGTTAGTGTATTTAAAAATTATAAAATGTTATGAATTTGTAGTGTATTGGTAAACTTATACCGATGGTTTAAAGAAAATACAGACCTTGGTGTATGTAATGTTTTATATATGATCACCTTAGTCTCTCAAATGACCCATAAATTGCTATCTATTTTTGTCCCCTGTTTGTGGTCAAAATTTTTTTGGAACTTATTCAGCTTTTCCACAGAATTTCAATTTCAACCACATTTAGTTGTGGGTATCGATGGAAGTGAATAATGGATAATTCCAGGTATCTGTCTCCCAGGGGCCTGAGGGATTGTACCAAAACAAATGATAAGCAGCTATAATTTATGATTTTACAGTTGTCATTGTATTTTCCAAAAACTTTCCTTTTCCTCTCTTTAAAAGCTGAAAAGGTAAATGTTAACTGCATCACTTTGTATCCCTATAATACCTTGTCTTTCAATATATAACAATTTGACAATGCTTAAGGACTCACTGTGTAGTTTGTTGGGTATGCCAGGGCATCAACAATAGTTGGAAACATGGGATAATTTGCAGAAGCCCATTATGCATAAATTAACCCACATTCCAACTACTGTTGATGTCCCTTGAATACCCAACAAACTAGACAGTGATTCCTTATATTTCCATTTCATTGTAAAAAAAAATTGTAAATTTAGTTTTAAAAAATGTTTTTAGATTTAAAATGCATGAGGTTTTCAATGGTCCCTGCCCACTGACGTCAGACACAAAGACAGCCGCAGAAAACTTGCATGCATATTAGGCTTTATTAGGTCCTAACCTTTTGCTTGGCGAAATTTACATATTGGTTAAATGATCAAGAAATCAACTCACCTAACTTTCAAAGAGTTATCATAGGGAAAATAAACAGAAATGGAAATATTGTAAAATCAACAATACAATTCACTCTATTCAGCAAAGTGCTCCCTATCCTTTATACAAGATTTTTATTGTATTCGATGATAGAGAAATTTTTTATCATATTGAATTATTTATAATGCAGTTAATCTCTTAAAATACTGTACCTTATTCCGAAAAACTATTTCGTTTATTATAAGAATATTTTGCATTTTTTTAAAATTCCGAGTATCAAAAATACAAAAAAAAAACTTGTTTAAAGGATATGCTGTCCATTTCATGCATTTACAGACAGTAAATGGTGCTTTTTTCTGCAGACACACTCATAGATTTATATGTCATTTCCCATGACATTGTACTTGATATAATGCATGTGTATTACGAGGGTTGTCCCGTAAAATCGTGGACAAGTTGTCTAGTTTGAAAAATAATCATCACTGCGTTCTGAAATTTTAAAGATAAATTATGAATATACATAGCAAATTTCAAATAGATATATGCATAGGTAAACAAATTATGATATTTTATGTTATGTACTGTATCGCACTACGGCGCACGGATGATAACGTCATAGTGTCTAAAACAGCGTCACGTTTCATCTTTGCTAAACTTAAAGTTGGATAAACCCCACTTAAATTTAGAAATTTATGTGAGTATCTATAACCAGTTCAGAAACCAATGTGGCACACTCAAGCAATCTTCTGAATATTCATTAGCAAGTTACAGACAGTATTCTCACCATCATTCAACTAAAAGAGAATCTCAGATCGACGGTTGACAATGACAGCGTCCTTTGCTATTACAAATGGCAGTCTGTCCATATGTTTTGTGCTGTCTGGGGACTCGACCACGAAGACTTCACTAAGAAAACTTTCATTTCATTTATATACTAAAGATCTGGTGATATTTTTCATATTTTCTTTCTTCTGTATTCATTTAAAGTCTCTTAAGGCGTCATTACAACATCCTTATCTATCTGAATTGCTCTCTGGTGCGCCGTAATGTCATAAAAAGTCGCCATTTTTCGTGTATTGTGTTTATTACTTTCCCATTTCAAATGCTCGGGAAACTGCCAAAAATTAACCAAATGCCTTGAAATTTTTAAATAGACGACAGAATTGCTTAAGGAATGGAATTAGGATAATTTTCATCCTAATCTTATGTATTGAAAACTTTTATTATGAATTAATTCTTATGTCTTCTCTAATATAACCTTGCTATTTTTACCGTGCGCCGTAAGACCGTACCTTGTGCACATTCAAGCAGAATAAAATCTTTTATTTTTGAATATATATTATCAAAAACATTATGACTCACTTAAATATGATGAATAAACATTTACTGATAATTTCAGCTTAGTGCGCCCATTACTTTTCGAGAAAAACGCTTTGTCCACGATTTTATGGGACAACCCTCGTACATGTATTTTAAAAAAGATAAGCAGCACGATTTCAATTCCTCCTCCAAACCCAATTCTCTGTCCTTTTCTTTACACATCCTCATACTTTTTGCAAAGTTTTTCTAATAATTTGTTTTTGTAAATTTATTACTATCTGCAAATTTCACATCATTTGCACAACATAAATGGATTATATTTGAAGAACTTCCTCAATGTAAATACCTTCAAATTACATTCTTGGAGCTTACATATAAAAATGGAAAAATAAATGAAGATTTTACATCCATGTCTAGTACCTTAAATTATTACATAAAAAAAGGTCAGAACTCTGAATTTTGATTTCTCGTACATGAAGTCAGTATGGAATAAATATCAAAAACAATTCGGATTGACCCATTGCTTTAGTAGTGTACATATTGTAGAGTATTATGTTTTGTACAGTGGAAAGCTTTTGAAGTATCTATAAAGAAGCAATACATTAATTTTTACCTCTGCTTTTGCTTACAGTAAAATCAGATATTTTTACGGGGTAAAATTTTTGTGGTTTGAGGGAAAAATACAGGTTTTGCGGGATTTTATATTGTGGATGAAGAATTGCTAAGTATTAACATACATGTACAATTACATTTTATGGTGGACATGAATTTATGGGTCTTTTTGTACCTCCAACAATTAAAATAAAACCAATACAAAAATGGTTTATTTCACAGTGTATACATGTTTTATATAATATATATCTCTGTTAATTCATCCAAACTTTATTTTTGCTGAGTTCTGTTCATCTTAATTTCTTGTATCTACTGCAATATACTGATAATTACAGATCAGAATATTCATCAAGGATTAAAGTTTGTTAATTTTGTTAGTAACAATTACATGTATCAATGAAATCCCAAACAAATTCTTTATATACATTTAGCTATGTATGTATGTTGAATATGGTTAATGTTTGAAACAATGAAATTAAATCCCTAAGGAAACAATTACAATGACAAATCAATGAAATTTTATTCCATCACCAAATTCTGCTTCTGACAATGTTAAAACAAAATATGCAAAAGTGCTCATATTAAATATCAAATAACTGTCTCACAAATTAAAATGTAAAAAAAAAAAAGGCAATTCTGAGTATTCTTGCATGAAGAAAAGAATTTTAATGAATAAAGTTACAAGGTTTAAAATCAAATTCTTGTTATAACTTCATATTCTGCAGATCCAGTAAGAAAGCTAGATTTAAAATCTTTATATATGCAGTAGATACATGTATATAGAATTTAGAGAAGTTATAAATTTGATTCTAGGGTTGGGGACTGTACTGTGAATACCTAGGAGAGGAACTTGGATTATACGAGTATAACTACACATTGTGAGTAGAAGTGTGATTGGTAATGTTTTATGTCAAATTCACCATATTTCTCTTGTTAAGTTTATTCAGTCCACATCTAGAGCTTTAACTTATTTGTTCATTTGTTAAGGTTTGGAAGGTATTGTGGAGAGATTCTGAGAGCTGCACGTCTTGTAGTCGATACAGGGATCCATGCTTTTGGGTAGGTAACACTAGTATACACCATAACTGTTGAACGAATGTCTCTTACAGCAGAAGTGTTTTTAGCTCTACTGGTCAGAGACCAGAAGAGCTTATGCGATAGTAATGCGTCCGGCGTCCGGCCGTCTGTCTAGCTGTCCGTCTGTCTGTAAACAATTTTTCAAAATGCTACTCCTCCAACAGATTTGGTCCAATTTCAATATAACTTGGCACACAAGTAGACTACACTAAGATACATAATTCTATGCATCTGTTTTTGTTTTCTATGAACGGTGTTGCTGTGGTTACTAAAAATAGAAATTTCTGTGAAATTCTTTCAAAATGCTACTCCTACGGTTTTGGCCTGATTTTAGTATAACTTGGCACACAAGTAGACTACACTAAGATACATAATTCTCTGCATCGGTTTTTGCTTTGTTGAGTGGCAAGGATCATTTTTCTATATATTGCTGTTTTAAAGTTTCAAGTTGCAACTGCTACTTTTCTCTTCCTTTGTTTAAAGTATAAACCAGTAGAGCTCCAGTCTTGATAGAGACTTCTGGTTTAACAAAAAGCACACTAGATGTTTCTTGCTTGTGAAAAAGAAATAATTTGTCATCAAGATATGCAAAATCCATACAGGCATTAAGTAGATATTACAAATCTGATCTCTAAAGAAAATTATAAATTTGATGTTATTAAACAGCCATTTCTTAATGGAAACAAATTAAACAAAGGTATACAAGGGGAATGCATGAATAAAAAAAATCTTTCCATGCACATACATGCTAATTTTAGAGAGAAAGGAATAATGTACTGTAGTGGTAATATAAGTTGAATTTTAGTTGGCATATTTGGTTGTTTATCAACAGTATTAATCATTTTAAGGTTTTTTTTTTAAGATGGACGTATGAGGAGGCTTTGAATTACATGGTAGAAAAGACTTTCTTGGATGTCAACACTTTAGAGATAGAAGTTAAAAGATATGTAACCTTACCAGGACAAGCGTGTGCTTACAAGATAGGAGAAATCGTACTTAAGAATCTACGACAGAAAGCCAGTCTAGCATTAGGTAATAGAACAAGAGAAAGATGATAATACAAGTGAACTTCAGTTTCTCAAACTCTGATGTCTTGAATACCTTGGAAATGTCGAAGTGATGTGGAAGGCCCAACCACATATTCTTTAAGTATTTTACCCTGGATATCTTGAATCCTTGGATGTCTCGAAGTTTTTATCGGCCCCCATCAGGTTTGAGATAACGAAGTTTGACTGTACTGACAATATCATGTATAGGTAATTGGGCAAAAGAAAGTTGATAATACTGACAATATTCCACATAAAATTTCCAGAGAATATATTTTAATGTTGATAAGTATTACAGGTTTTGTATTTCAAAGTCCTTCAAAGAAATAAAAGTTTTTTTAAACTGTAAAGGATTTAATTTATTGAGCATAGCTAACAAAGATTTTGGACTATATTTTATTGGTCATTATGGAGCTTACATTGAGAATGTGTCTGTGTCATCTACAAGCGATTTTATTGTCTGTTATAAAATGCGACATAACTTTTTATCCGTAACTTTTAAAACAGTATAGACCTAATATTCAATGTGCATATATCTATCAGTATTTTCAGCACATAGAATCTGTATCCAAATTGTTTGCAATGTCCAAGTTATAAAATATATTTGACAGCTGGAGGAGATTCAGTTTCAAATTTCATTTTTGTCGTCCCATATAAACGTGTTACAGACTATTTTTCTTATTTTCAGGAGACAGATTTGATGTCCGAGAATTCCACTCCGTTGTACTACGATGTGGGTCAGTGCCATTGAAATTTCTAGCGCAAAAAGTTGACGAGTATATCAGAGACACTCTAGAAGAACCCTAGGAAGCCGTAGGAAATAGATGTTATGATTAGGAATACAATGAAAACTTTTTTTGTCAGGACTATGTGTACTTTTCATAATTATTTATTTTGCTTTTTATTTGTTTTATGTACAATACCAAACTATAAATTCAGAAATTCAAAGAAATGGTTTAAATTCAATTTAAGGGTCCATAAGAATTCTCATATGTGCTCTATAGTAATCACTGTCACTGCCCAGCCAATTTATTCTGTTTTTTTTCCCTAACTGCTTTTCTTCTTTTTTTTTGTCCCATGATTTTTAAATTTGATGTGTTGGTTGAAAATTGATTCATTTTGTCAACCAAAAGACTCAATGGGAGTAAAAGATTCCTTTATTTTTGAATGAAACAATTTGTAAACAGATTTAAACAAATATTAAAGGATGACAGCCACAGTTAGTCACTGTCCAATTGTTTTGCATGTTGCAGAAAATCCAGAGCCCAATAGGCACCAGATCCCACCTCTGCGATTTCCAGGGTTCCCGTTTCATGCCCTCTTCACATATTGATGTTGTTAATGGATCTCTGTTTGTTACCTTTACTGTTTACATTACACAGTGCTATTGTGAATCTCCTAATTTGCATATTAATGAAAACAGATATTTGATGTTTTCCATTATACTAATATGAGAGATGAGTATTTTGTGAGATCAGTGCTTCACAGTACCTTTAGATTTAAGATTAATTGACCACTTGTCAGCTGGTGATACTTGTTTTTTTTGAGTTGGCTCGCGTAGCGAGCTACTCCCTGTCGACATAGCCGTTTCAGAGCTGTAAAATTTATCACGCATTCATCAAGGTGATCCATATGCCAAATATTATAGTTCTAGCAAAAAATGCTTTGGTTTGAGTGATTGTATAATTTTAAGAGGTAAAAACTGTATAAAATTTCATACTGTAACATTATTTATGCCTTCATGCTTTTAAAGAAATTTTTGATTAAATACCTGTAAGATGTACAATTACTGCGTATGAATATATGTTCAAGCATGTTAGGCGGCTAATCTGCCCATCTGAAGTTTATTTATAATTGACCTAGAATACTCCCTCTCACAAACACCTGCTGTTCTCATTAGCTGCAGCTAGTTGTTGTTGAAAATCTATTTTTAGAATCCAGATTTGCTGTGGGAATCTTTAACCTAATTCTATCAAATCAAAGTACTGAGGGATCATATGAGATGACTTAGGTCACGTGATTCCATTCAACCAATCAGTGCTTAGTGTAACGCGATTCCAAACAAGACACGTTATATTTTCGACAAGGATTTTCAGTCAATTTTGGATTGTTTATAGTGTTTATCGAACTGATATTGCTGTATTTTCAGCTATAGCAATACGAAGTTTTTGTTTATTTTGACACTTCGTGTCATTCACCTTCGTTTGCTTGTGTTTTGGGTCAAAATCTTTGACCCTTAACGAGTGCATTGTTTACAAACAATGGCGAACTTGGCCAATGAACCTAATCGTTTGAATAGCGATGCTGTCTTCGACAGTTTGGTTGCGGGAGTTCAATCCCATAATGACAGAAATCAATTCTTGTCATTGTTGTGCCTGAAGCTGCAAGAGAAGAAACAGTTCAAACTGTTCAGAGTGATTGTGTAGTGGGCGGAGCTTCGCCTGCTTTCCCGCCATCGATGTTGATGGACGCCCAGAAGACCCAGAATGCTCTGCGCCAAACAAATATGGCTGCGCCCATGAGCGAAGACGATGATGATGATCATGTGCAATGGAAAAAACTGTTTTTTCAAAACCAAAGTATACTTAATCATCTCATGCGACAAAGACCATTGGTTAATACCACTGAACAGCCTGTTTCTAAGAAACGCAAGGCATGTATTACCATTCTGACATAAAACAATAATTTCAGCAATAGTTGTGCAGCTAAAATATTTCACAATTAAAATAGAAAGGCAAGATTCAAAACAGTATTATTATAAATAAAATCAGATTAAAAACTCTGTTATTGAGAGATCTAACACTGCAAGATAACATGATGTAGTTTACATGGATAATTGTGTTTTCAGGTCGCAAATGAGCCTGATGAACTAACGTCGGACAATGACGATGAAGAAACTCTTGATGACCTGATATCCAAAGTGCAAAAGGATAAAGACGAGGACAAGGATGAAGAGGATTTCTTAGAATCATTAGAAGAGTTTATGGTAAAAGATGACAAAACAGAACCAGCTCTAAGTGCTGAGTTAGCAAAAGTTATTGTAACGGGAATCCCGGCAATAATAATTTGAAGAACTTTCTGGTTTTATAATTTCTTTTATATCAATAATTATATGGCTCTGAAATTAATATAAAATATACAATAACATTAGAATGGCAATAAAATATAATAGTAGATATACATAGGAGTCATTATTCAAATAGTGTCATAAATGAATATTTCACTCTATGGAACACAAACTTTCCAAAATTCCAAAATAATAAGATGCATGTGAAGACAAGGCAAAAACTTTTTGTGTGATATGTTACACTATATTAATAATAAATAAAAAGATATGCTCTTTACAACAACTCTGTATTTACACCAAAATACTCCTATGAAAATATTTACTTATATACTTTAATAGGATCTGAATACATTAACTCAGGTGAATTATCAGATTTATCCACATCTGATCTAGACATAAAATATTCTATCATAGTTTTACAAAGTATCAAATTCTTAGTTTCTTATGTATATCATAATTCATATTCTAATTAATTAAAATGTTAAAATATTTACTTACATATTTCTGTACTGTTTCTGTCAGTATCAGTATAAGATAATTCACCAGATCTAGTTTTCAAACTCTGAATCAAAAATCACTAGACAATGTAAAACAATTGTGTCAACCAAAATGTAGCTTTGTAATACTAATACTTTTAAAAGAAAGACTTTAGATTCTAATTCATTTAACTATCTTAAATTTATTTTAATTGATCATTTATTTAATTATTTAATAAAATATACATCTACTACATTATCAACACAAATTTCCAAGTAAGAATCTGAAACAAGGCAAAAAATTTGTGTGAAAAACACAAAGCCACACATGACGGTGATCAATGAAGAAAATGGCCATCGTTGAAAAACTAGTCAATAGATTTTTTGAAGTCCCAAACAATTTGTTGCTTTGAGCCCCGCTTGCAGCTTTTAGACAAATTGATTTCGGCAAGAAAATCTCACAGTCACAGATATGAAGGAATGCCTTGAACATGTTGAACTAGCACAAATCCAGTAAAATTGTTGCAATTAGCTTTTACAGATTTATCTCACAAAACAGAGTTATAAACCCCTGTGTAATGATTCGAACAAGGTCACAGAATTCCTCTTCGGAGACAACGTAGATGAGAAAATCAAGAAAATTGATACCTCTAAGAAAGTGAGCAAAAAACTCCAAGGATACAGTTTTCAAGGATCATCTGCAGGAAAAAATCAGGGAAGCCATCAGAAATCTTATGGATCTGGCTACAGATTTAGTGGAAAACCCCAGACACATGGCACCTACTCCCATTCCTACAAATATGACCAAAACAACAATGGGTCTTTTTTAGGGAAAGGCAGGGGCAGGAGACCACCTCAAACCCAACAGAAGAAGTAGACAATTCTACTCAACCAACAATCACAGACATAGCTCATCTTGACCATTCTGTAAGTACAGTTAATAGTGAGGAAAAATGCAACATTCTTGAAAAATTTCATAATACACCTGATAATTTCTATGGTGGAAAAATTTGTTCTTATTTTGAAAAATGGAAGGAGTTAACATCAGATAGGAAAATTCTTAATACTGTACTAGGATATCAACTTGACTTTATACAGTCTCCTTTGCAAGATAGGGTTCCTCATCAAATAAGGTTCTCTCCAGAAGAAATGATTGTCATTGATACAGAAATTCAAAAACTCCTTGACAAAAAAGTGATTGAAAAGACAGAAAGAATGGAAAATGACTTCATTTCAAACATTTTTACTAGGAAAAAACATGATGGAACTTTTAGATTAATTCTAAATTTACAAGATTTGAACAAGGATGTTGAATATCACCATTTCAAAATGGAAACAATAAAAAGTGCTTTGTGTTTAGTAAAGCAAGATTGTTGGTTGGCCTCGGTAGACTTAAAAGATGCCTACTATTCTGTACCAATATATTCAGCGGACAGAAAATTCTTAAAATTCATATGGAGAAATCAGTGTTTTCAATACACCTCTTTACCTAATGGATTATCTTCTGCCCCACGTGTGTTTACAAAACTTTTAAAACCAGTTTTTAGTACATTGAGAAAACAAGGATTTGAAAGTGTACCATATATATATAGATGACATTTTATTGTTAGGTGATAGTTTTGAACATTGTGCTCAAAATATAGGAAGTACATCAACATTACTTGACAATTTAGGATTTACTATTCATCCTACCAAATCTGTTGTTGAGCCTGTGCAAGAAATAGCATTTTTAGGATTTCTCATAAATTCCAAGAAAATGATCGTTTCTTTATTGCAAGACAAAGCAAAAGATATAAAGAATCTAGGGTCTAAATTAATTATCAAACATGGAATCCAGATAAGAGAGTTGGCACAGCTGATTGGGAAAATGGTTGCAGCTTCACCAGCTGTCCAACATGCACCTCTACGATACAGAAATCTTGAAATTTTCAAAGATAATATGTTACGACAAAATAGAGGAGATTTTGACAAAAAGATTCTTTTGACCGTTGAATCTATGAAGGACATTTCATGGTGGTGTGATAATATTTGCACAAGTTCAAAGGCCATCCTAATTCCTACTGTAGACATTATTTTAGAAACAGATAGTTCTCAAAAAGGATGGGGAGGTTGTGAAATCAAGTCTGGCAAGAAGACTGGTGGAAATTGGTCATATGAAGAAAAGCTTTATCACATTAACTATCTAGAACTTAAAGCGGTGTTTCTGAGCATTAAGACATTTTGTAGCACATCAGAAAACACACATATACAAGTTAGATTGGACAACATGGTGGCTATGCATTATATAAACAACATGGGGGGCAGAATTCCTGAACTCAATTTGTTAGCTAGGGATATCTGGTTTTGGTGTATAGCAAGAAACATTTGGATAAGCGCCTCTCATATTCCTGGCATTGAAAATGTAGAAGCAGACAGACTGTCACGCACAATTAATGATGATTTAGAGTGGAAACTGAACGAGACTGTTTTTGACAGTATATCTCAAATATTTGACTTAAAAAATGGAATTGACTTGTTTGCATCCAGATTAAATCATCAGCTTGATAGATATGTGTCTTTTCTCCCAGACCCCGAAGCTATTGGTGTTGATGCATTTTCTTTTCCTTGGAAAAATGACAAATTTTATATTTTTCCTCCTTTCAGTATGCTGGGGAAAGTATTGCAGAAAATTCAGCAGGACAAAACAAATGCAGTAGTAATAGCACCACTGTGGCCCACACAAGCGTGGTTTCCAGCACTTCTGAAAATGATTTATCTGCAACCTTACCTTCTGAACAACAAAAACATCCTTACAATGCCAACAGATCCGAACAGACAACACAGGATTCCAAAGCTGAAGATGAGATGTTTTCCATTGTCCGGAAACTTCTTCAGGACAGAGGAATATCGGAAGACCTTGCCGTGGTCATTTTCAACTCTTGGAGGAAATCTTCTCAAAGACAATACTGGAGTTATATCAAACGATGGTTGCAATTTTGTGATTCAGGGAAAATTGATTCATTTAATCCAACTGTAAATAATTTTCTTTGTTTTTTACAAACTTTGTTTGACCAAAAATTGTCATATAGTGCAATCAATACAGCAAGATCTGCTGTCTCATCATTACTTTCACTGTGTGGTAAAGAAAATTTTGGATCTCATACTCTAATTAAAAGATATTTGAAAGGTGTTTTTGTCAAACGACCAACATTACCAAAGTATAGCTGCACATGGGATGTGTCAATAGTTATGAATTATTTGAAAACATTTCCATTTTCAGAATTGTCTTTGAAACTTCTGTCATGTAAAACTCTTATGTTATTAGCTTTATTGACTGGTCAAAGAGGTCAAACATTACATTTGTTAACTGTTGATGATGTAGTTGTAGGAAATGATTATGTAGAAATTAGATATAGTTCTTTGTTAAAAACCTCCAAACCAGGAAAGCATGTAAATAATGTTAAGTTTCCAATGTATGTAGAAAAGGAATTGTGTATTGTGAGGACACTATGTGAGTATTTAGAAAGAACAAAATTTATAAGACAAGATAAGAAATTGTTTATCAGTACTATGAAACCTCATAAGGGTGTTAGCAGAGATACCATAAGTAGATGGATACGTGATACAATGGAAATGTCGGGGATAGACATATCTAAGTTTTGCCCACATTCAACACGGGCAGCTGCTACTAGTGCCGCTCATAAAGCAGGAGTACTAATAGACATTATCATGGAGAAAGCTGGCTGGTCGAATGCTAGTACTTTTCAAAGGTTTTATAACAAACCGATACAGACATCTGCACAGTTTAATGAAAGTATTTTAAAAAGTGTTACTTGATTAAATTTGATATGAAGAATGTAAATAAATGGAATGTTCTTTAGTTCTACTATTGTTTTAATTATGCATAGACAAATACATCAGCTCTGAAATCTCATATGATCCCTCAGTACTTTGATTTGATAGAATTCTTAAATTAAACGAATATAACTTGTTAGATGAAGTTTGATTGTAATTCTATCAAATCAAATAGTACTGAGGGATCAGATGCCCGCCACAATTTTAATGTATTATCATTAGTAAATAATAAACCCACCCTTGGGCATTTATTTCAGTAGATGTAATTGTCTATGGTATCTGAAGTCTGATTGGTTGAATGGAATCACGTGACCTAAGTCATCTCATCTGATCCCTCAGTACTATTTGATTTGATAGAATTACAATCAAACTTCATCTAACAAGTTATATTCGTTTAATTTAAGAATTACTTCATAACACTGACCACTTCAGCTAATGTGCTTAAATTCATTATAGAATCCAGTCAAATTAATACGGAAGCCCATAAGTGCAAACCTTTATACATAAAGGAAAAGCAATATACACTTTATTTATGAACCGAACATGGATCAGACATATAATATTCAATCTCTTAAGATGCAAAATAAACTAAATATATTAAGGTATGGTGCCCAGATGTATTAAAAAGCTCAATTGACTCGAGCGAGTCAACTCGCAGGCCCTTCAGGCCTTTGATTTAAGTTATGCAAAAGTATTTGTCTCATTCACTGAAGGCTAATACATTTTAAGAAATATGCTTAGAAATACTTTTAAAATTATTTTACTTCTTTTATATTCTTTTTGAAACGTAATTCCAACGATCCAATTTCGGTATATTTTATTACTGTCTTATCTATATGATACATTGTAAAATCTAGGATAAAATACATTTCAAAGAGGTACAGTGTAGATAGAATGAAAACCTCATTAAGTCATGATTACAGTACATGTATTATATATTTTTTCATGAAAGTGTATTTTGATTTAACTTTATTTTTTGGCAAAATAACATTTTTACCATACCATAAGCACTCCCAATCTAATATCTTAATACAAGATATCTCAATTCTCTTCCTTCCATATTCCTCTACAGGACCTTTGCTGACTAGTCAGTTTCTCTGTTGTGGCTTTTATTCTGTGAGATCATGACATATTATACATTTATTGCATGATAGTGAGGGAAATATGAAGACTTCGATGAAAATAGCGAATATGTTTTGAAAGAAAATCATATTGTTTATTATACCAAACAAGCAAAACATTTGAAATAAAATAAACTTTTTGAGTCACAGTTTTTAATGAAGTTTTTTGTTTAAACCAGGTGTGTGTGTCTACTTCTCTCGGAAGTTTTCGTTCAACAAACGAGAACTATATTGCGGGAAAATACACTAGGTGTTCCGAAGAGGTGGAATATGATGAAAAGCGTGCCGAAAATAAGTTTTACGGCACGTGATAACTTAGAACCAATCATATAACGCGTTGTTTAGAATATTTATAATGAGGTATAATAATATTTAATATTTCTCTTACTTGTCTTCAAAGTACTGAATACATTGTATTAGTTTTGGCTGTTCACCTGAAAGAAAATTTTGTTTTTATTTCAAAGTGTGCAAAATGGGATCAAATAAAATTTGATGCATCATTTATGATTTTTTTTTTTGTGTGTGTGTGTGAAAAGTCCTCTCTCTTGTCATACATGTAAGTAGCTGCAGAACTGTAGCTCAGAGCCTCTCTGCTTGAGAAAATTCGGACAGATAAAGCAGAGAGCTACAGATCCAAGCGTTGTAAAAACCTTCGATTTACGCCGACGATTTTTTGTCGCTCACTATGGCTACCTCTCAAGGCTAACAAACGGCTGTTTGTGGTTACGGACGTCGAAATGGAACTCTTTTAAACCGACATTACAAAACTATATACAGAACTGTTTCGGACCGTTAAAAGGTAAACAAAGTATCAAATATAACAGTTAAAGATATGAATTATTATAGAATACCATTCTAAAAGCAAGAGAAAGCTTGAACTACACGAAATAAATACCTAAAATAGCGACAAAAATCGTCGGCGTAAATCAAAGGTTTTTACAACGCTTTGATCCCTAGCTCTCTGCTTTATTTGTCCGAATTTTCTCAAGCAGAGAGCTACAGTTCTGCAGCTAACATGTAAGCTGTTAGTTGGCTCTTATCAACTGAATTCAGTAAAACACCCAAATATGAAACAGATTTATAAGAATGTTTTGTCTTTTACCGTATAATCCCTATTAACCGCCCCGGGCGCTTAGAAAATTGCAAAAAGGGGGCGGTTATTTTTGTATTCTCTTTATGATATTTAATGTCATATTTTAAGTTCAAAAAATCTTTTGAAAAAAAATAAATACAAGGAACCACTAAAATAATGTCTAACTTTACTGAAAGTAAAGATTATCCACCCAAATTATGCTAAATGTTTCATTTTCCACCGAGATATTGGGCAATAAACAAGTTTCATTTTCACTTTCTTAATTTTTTTTTATACCATTCTTTTTGATTTTAATCACGGTACAGGGGGCCCTTATTTCCTGACAATTGAAAAAGACTCAGGGGTGCTAATAGGGACAGGGGCGGTTATTAGGGATTATACAGTAATTCAAATTTATTGGGATATATATTAATCGAGGTATAAATGAAAGTAACTGTGCATTGTGAATTGATAATACATCAACGATACATGTATATCAAAATGTCGATTTGGACACCATGCATACACTGCAAGTGTTGAGGCCTCTATGAGTGAAAAATTCTCGAACTGGTATAAAACAACATGTTATCAATCAATCAATCAGTCAATCTGATTTACACCACTTTTAAAATATGCTGTTACAGTAATACGTACAGCAAGTTTGGATTATCCCTAACAGCAGTTTAATATACATGTATACAATGTTGGACTTCAGTGTAGGTCAGTATGTGGTTGTAAAGACTCATGACAATTGATATAAATTGTGATGAATATCCATTTTTTTAACAATAAAATGCTCTCTTTAAAATTCTTCCATTAATATTATAAACATTTTTTTTCAAAATGATTAACTAAGTTTCAATGAAATCTTTTTGAGTTTCTAATAAAAATATACTGTACGTGGCTAAACATAAAAATGTTTCAATTAAACATGACCGTCCATATGTGAAAAAAATACGTATAGACGTTCATATGATGGCGTATTCTGTTCTCTTATACATTTTTTGTTAATATAAAAAAGAATCGATGAAAATAGCGGTTTTGAAAATCATATTGTACATTTAACACATTGGTGTAATAAAATAAGGATTTTAAGCTTTCCGAACAACTTAAAAAAAATAATGCTAACATTTTTTTTAATGAAATATTATAATTTTAAATAAAGGATATATAATTGAAAAGGTCAAAGATATTTGAGGAAGGGCGGGGGTCCCTGTCCTCGAGCACCCGTGACAGTCACAATTCTGAAACCGAGCGCTTAGTGACATTGTATTTGATTTCTGATCGGGTTCGATTGCATTAAATCTACTTTCATTTTCACCTAAAACAGCTGGCTAATTTGAAGAAGGGTAAGTCACTAAGTGATATGAACGATGTCAGACAGTCAACGCCATATAAGTTTATAAGTTTGTTTGCTTTTACTCAAAAAGTACTCTCAGATAAAAACCGGACTCCTGCTTTAATTTTGTCTTTGAAAATAGATAGTTTGATAAAACGCACATGCAGGGACATGCGACACAGTACCCTCTATTTCGTATCTGTAAAGGTACAAAAATGTACCAATCAATAATTCTGACATGCTATCAATATACCGAGCAATGATAGGCCAACTGATAGTTGTCTGATTTATGATATCAATAAATTGTATAATGTTTATAAGAATTAAAAGAAGACACTCTGCATATATACCCACTCACGATTTTTACTCGTTGAAAAGATGGGGGATACCAAGGTTAGAGCTTTATGTGATGAATTCTGGGAATGGAGGATGCGTCAGAGCCCGGTGTTTGCCTCGTACTGTGGAGATCAGCGATATTCCCATTTGTTGGATGAGATCGACCCAGACGCCTTCCTTGGGTTTGAGGTATATTCATGAGTCTATAACCACACACACATGCATTGAAAGTTAATTAAAATATTTAATATATACAGATAATACATGTATATATACATAATATATGTAAATATATTTATTGAGGAAAATATATATGATTTCCTAAATTCATGTGTTTACATTATACAGGTTGGGCACACCCCACCAAATGATCATTTATCCCCCCTTTGGTGGACAATCTCTCATATCTGAGAGGAATTTTACTGTCTGTTTGGGAGAGAAAAATGGATGTGTTCAATTCCATAGAATGGCGTGGAAAGGCGCATAATTTTGAACCATGTGGAATAAAATATATTTATCGATGTTATGAGTGAAAAAAAAAATCGGAAATTCAACGTGTAATTTTTTGCGCAGAATCGTTGAAACATTTACCGTTTCTGGAATAACTGTCTTATTTTTCGATTTCCGAAGGCGTTTATGCATAAAATTATCACGCAAGCCAATCGATTGATCATCGTTATGAAATTGAAAAATCTGACAGTTATTCCTTGTATTTACATGCTTTGATTCCACCAATCCACGTGCTCCGAGCCCTGCTACTTTCTAACTGTTTGTCTCGCCCTGCACGTTTTTTTTTTTTAACCGCACCGAAACATTGAGTAATTTTTTGCGCAGAATCGTTAAAGCATTTGACAAAAAACATCATGTACGTAAGCAAGTGCAATGTTTCTCACACACACCTGTCAATCACGATTCAAAATAATTACTTTCTATATCCAAGCAACCGATCAAATAATGCAAACCGATAAAAACGATGATCTTTTATTTAACCTTGTCAAAAGTCGGATTTTACTACGGAGGCATATATATATATATATAAATATATATATATTTTTATATAGCGCTTTTTTCTTTTATAACCACACACAAAAAATAATAAAATATTATATTGAATATATATATATATTTATGTAATACATGTATAATACATAATATATGTAAATATATTTATTGAGGAAAATATATATGATTTCCTAAATTCATGTGTTTACATGTACATTATACAGGTTGGGCACACCCCACCAAATGATCATTTATCCCCCCTTTGGTGGACAATCTTTCATATCTGAGACGAATTTAACTGGCCGTTTGGGAGAGAAAAATGGATGTGTTCAATTCCATAGAATGGCGTGGGAAGGCGCATAATTTTGAACCATGTGGAATAAAATATATTTATCGATGTTATGATTGAAAAAAAAAAAATCGGAAATTCAACGTGTAATTTTTTGCGCAGAATCGTTGAAACATTTAAGGAATAACTGTCTTATTTTTCGATTTCCGAAGGCGTTTATGCATAAAATTATCACGCAAGCCAATCGATTGATCATCGTTATTAAATTGAAAAATCTGACAGTTATTCCTTGTATTTACATGCTTTGATTCCACCAATCCATGTGCTCCGAGCCCTGCTACTTTCTAGCTGTTTGTCTCGCCCTGCACGTGTTTTTTTTTTTTTTTTTTGAACCGCGCAAAAACATTTATGGGGAAATAAATTAATTTACAATTTGTAATTTTATCTCGGACAAAGACATTGGAAATGTAAATATTTGACAAAAAATGTCACGTACGTAAGCAAGTGCAATGTTTCTCCGTTTTTACAAGTTTAAAAAGAAAATTCCCTCCTTCTCCAACAATGCCGCACCTGTCAATCATGTCCTTTACTTTCTATATCCGAGCAACTGATCAGATAATGCAAACCGATAAAAACGATGATCTTTTATTTAACCTGGTCAAAAGTCAGATTTTATTAAGAAGGCATATTATTTTGTGTCAATTTTTAAGTAGGAAATCAAAAGAAAAGTAAGTTTTCGCCTTTATTTCTTTTTAATTTTTAAGCAATAGCTTTTTTCTTTTTTCAAAAAAAAAGTAAATGAAATTAGATTATGACATAATTTATTGTTGAAGATAAATTGCAAAAATCACTTTGTAAGTCTTTTATTGAAAAATATTTATCAAATATATTAAATTCATCACTAATATTACTCAACCACAAAAGGTCGCATGTTATATGCAACTTCATCCTAAACGAAAACCCCCCCCAACAAATATTACTTTCACGTTAAGAAAAATTTATCTTTATCGCAATAAGTGCCTATCAAACCAGTAAAGTATGAGAAGCTCTTTTTTTACGGGATTTTATGGTGATAAATATTGACGAAGATCAAAAGACGATTGCATGTTAACTCATCAAGAGTTAAACCACTGGATAAAATTGAATTTTATCCAACTTACTTATTTCTCCTGTCCGTGTCCCGGGGGACGCATGAGGCCGTTCAACAAAGATCCCACTAACAGCGGTCACTGCGACAACCTGCCCCTCCTTCCAATTTTTCCATCCCAGTTCTTCTCTTTCTTTCTCAACAGAGCGTCGCCAGGTGTTCTTTGGCCGTCCTCTTCGTCTCTTTCCATCAGGGGCCCATTTGAGAGCTGCCCTAACATGTGAGTTCTCTTCCTTTCGGAGGATGTGGCCTATCCATCTCCATCTCTTTCTTTTGATGGTCCTTGATGGAGGTATGGATCTTGTTCTTTCATACAATTGTTGTATCTTTTCAAGCCATTGTTTTTTTAGGATCATCCTAAGGCATTTTCGATGGAACATTTCAAGCTTTTCGTCGTCTTTTTCTGTTGTTCTCCATAGTTCAGCACAATACAGCAACAAATATAAAACATTTGTGCTGAAGATCTTAAGTTTGGTCTTTGTGCTGTATTGTGCTGGCTTCCAGACTTTGGCAAGTGATGCAAAGGCGGCCCTTGCTAAGCTTAGCCTTCTCCCAATACCTGCCTCAGTTACTTTGGTCTTGTCCATTATGGCACCCAGGTAGAGAAATGTTTCGACCTCTTCTATTTCTTTATCATTTAATTGATGGCATCCTTTTGCTTCATATTTATTCTCATGCTTTTCGTTTTGTCAACAATAATTTTTAGGCCAGGGTCCGCCGTTATAAAACATACTTAAGTCTGGGAATGCTTTCAAGTCTGAGAATTTTCTCAAATCCAAAATTCTCAGACTCATGATAAAGTTGAGAAAAATAAAAATTCCTTAAACTCTGTTTTATTCTTAAATTCTCAGCTGAGTAATTCTCAAGACTTGAGTTGAGAATTTTTTGAGAATTCTCAAAGTTTTATGACGGCGGACCCTGTATATTCCGCAACATCATGTACTCTCCTGGTCTTTTCCTGCATGTTGATGTTTTTGCTGGAAATAAGTGCAAGGTCGTCTGCACAATCCAGGTCTTCTAATGTTGTCATAAACTTCCAACGTATGTCTCTCTCCTTATTGTTGGTATTTCTCATTATCTTGGATGGTGCATCCTTCGGGTAATTCTGTTGTTTCTGTTGGAAGATTAAGGACCTCTTCCAAATGCTCTGTCCATCTCTCAAATATTTTTCCATCCTTCATGATTAGCTCACCATTCTAGGACCTATGCCACTTGATATGTTTTTTTCCAACAAAGTTGCTTGGTCAGTTAGTAAACTTCGCTCAGACGGTTTATATTTGCTGCATTCTCTACTTGGTTAGCAATATCTTCTAGATTTTTCCTTTTTTCAGCTCTAGCTCTTCTTTCACTTCTTTGTCTTTGGTCTTATATTCATCTCTCTTAAATTCCTTTATTCTCTCCAAATTTGATCCTCCTGTTTCTTCCTTAAGTTTTCTTCTTTCACCTATGGCTCTGTATGTTTCTGCAGTAAGCCAGTCTTTGTGTTTCCTTTTCCTCCAGCCAAGGATCCTTTCTGCTGTTTCATGATATACTTCTTTCACAAGAGTCCATTTTTTAGTGATTGTGTTTTTGTCGTCAGCTAATTGCTAAAACTTATTTCTTAATTTGTTTGAATCATTTGCTTTTTCTAGGATCTTTCAGATTGCAGACATCATACATCTTTCTGCTGGTTTCCTTTGGCTTTAAGTTTCTGCAGAGCTTCATCTTTGCTTTAGCCAATACTAGATTGTGATCTGAGTTGGCATCTGCACCGTGCATAACAATTACATCACATAAAGACCTCCTGTATCTGCCTTTCACCATTTCATGGTCAATTTGGTTCCCATCTCTTCCATTAGGTGACTCCCATGTAAACTTGTGTATGTCAAGGTGCTTAAAGAGGGTTACGCAGATGATCAAGTTATTAAGAGGAACATTTCGGTAATTAACCTCATGTCGTTTTCATTTATAGTCCCAATGCCATCTTGTCCAATGACTCTTTCCCATCCTTCATTTGACGTTCCGACTTTTGCGTTTGCATCACCCATTACCATCATTATGTCATGCTTTGGCGCTTTTGCAATCTCTCTTTGGAGCTGTTCATATAAGGTGTCCTTATCTGCTTCGTCTGCTTCGTATGTTGGAATGTATAATTGTATTATTGTTAGCTTAACAAAGCGGGAGAAAAAACGTGCGCTGATGATTCTTTCATTAACAGGATTCCATTCCACCAAGCTTTGTCGGCTTTTTCTGCTAAGCATAAATCCTACTCCTCTATGATGTTCTTCAGCTCCGTAGTACAAGATGGTCTCTTCAGGGGTTGTCTTTTTTCATTAAAGCCTGTCCATCTTACTTCGTTCAGTCCAACTTATATCTGTTAAACTCTCTTACGATGTTAACTGATTTTTTTTTTCAATTTGGAACATTGTTCTTACGTTCCAACATCTGATCTTGGTGATGTTTTTAGTTGTTAATATGGATGGCATCTGCGTTCCTTTCAGACCGTTAGAGTCCTCTCGGCTTTTCGTCATTGCCGTTATTCTCTCGAATTCCTAATGAAGGTAATCCTCATCTGGAATCTTGCATGTCGCGCTTGCCCTTCCTTTAGTGGTACTAATTGTTGTAACGATTTCGTAATCAATTTTTTTATGGAAGGAGGTGATTAGCCTCATGCAAAACCAACCTCCAAGTTTATGTGGGAGTGGGGGGGGGGGGCATAGTAGTTACTAACGGCCTCTCACTAAATCTGGATTGTAATCAGTTTTTCTTATCCTAAATGAGTTGCCGACCGTTGCCGACCTAGGCTTTCAAGCCCAATCTTCCCGTGCGCCCTTGTGAATTTAACCTTGGGCCGAAAGGTGCCCAGTATCCGTCTGCTTCCGCGTGGAGGCATTTAAAAGGCCCTAGTTGTGGAGAGGCTATGTTTTGGCAGGGGAAGACTTACAAATTGCTTCCCTTTCCGCATTACTACTAGCCGGCGATGAGGGCCGAAAACTAGACGTGACAAGCACACAGACACCAACACCAGCACACTAGTCCAACAACATTTAGCAGACATATTACTTTCAAGTTTAGAAAAATTGAACTTTATAGCAGTTAGTGCCCACCATATCCATAAAGTATAAGGAACTCGTGTTTTACGGGATTTTATGGTGATAAATATTGACGAAGATCGAAAGAGCGATTGCAAGTTAACTCATCAAGAGTTAAACCATTCGATAAAATTGAATTTTATCCAACAGGTCAGACCTATCTTTTCTTTGATCGATTGATCAAGAAGTTCGGCTGTTACAGAAAACTATGGGTATCGTTTTTTCACTAAATTACGGAGAAATTTCAAACTGGAAAGTCGACTGAACTATGTTAATTGTGCGATGAATATGTTCACTAAATTTCTCCAATGCCTTTGCAAATGCGCTTTTGCTTTATTTTAATAAAAATTTAAATAAAATAAAAAGTCCACCATTTGGTCCGTAAAATACCGATATGGGCGATTGTCCACCAAACAAAAATGTCCATTCGGTGGGATGTGCTCAACCTGTTACATAACCTCAAATGTCCATGCATCCAAAGCCCCGGTAATGCAACACACAAGAAAATATATGGTAATAATAGGTAATAAAGTCCTTTATTATGATTGAAGACCTTCATGAAGAGTAAATCATAAACATGTATAGTATATGAAAATTACATGCCTACAATAAATAAGGCTGATCTTTGGTATTTAAAAACCAACATTCTAGTACATAAGAAATACGAGGGTTGTCCTAAAATGTCATAGACAATGTCTATAACTTTTTAAACATGCAAAAAATACTAACCAAATTTTGCATAGACATCATACAACTAATGTTTTTTAAAATTGTAGATTTTTAAATATACATTTTTCATATTAATAATATTAGGGACAATGGCGTTTTTTAAATGATGGCCGAAAAGGTCTGTCGGCGCACGGAAAAAAATTGGAATAATTTACGCGTATAACTATTTCATTTGCTTTTATTGCTTTACTACTCAAAAATGTAAAACATTGAACTAAAAATTAAATCAAGGAAATCAGAATCAAAATTTTAATAATATGTCAAAATTTCTACAAATAGCATTGTAATACAGACGATTGGTGTCATGATTTTCAAAGTGTTGTTGGAATTGTGTTTGATGAAAATGACGTCGTCAAATGCGTAACATGTAACAAGAGGAACTAAACTGTTTACGACTTTTTGGGACAACCCTCATAAAGTGTCTATTTTTTAAAAAAGCATGATGGTTATAGAACACTATGAATCATATATCCTTGGAATTGCAATAGTTAAACTCTTTTTCAACTATTATATATGTACAAAGTTAGATCTTGAAAACTATACTTTTACATGAATTAATTAGTTAATTTTAAAGGCTAAAGACTACTTAATGTGCTTAAGTTCTGAATCCATATATATTTTCTCTTTATTTGTAGAAAGATGTTTCCAAGCTTATAAAAAAAGCAGATAATATCCAGGTAAAGGATTTATCAAAACCTGCCAGAGATGAACTCTTACTTGTGAAAGACCAGCTGCAGACTTTTTTGGCTGGAATGAAGCACAAGGGGTAAAGTCAAATAAACAGCAGTACATGGAATAGTTACCTCAAGTCTGACAGCAGTTCTTAAATTATTTCAAAAAGGGATCCAATATTGATGTTTTTTAAAGATATAATTATATACACGTACTAGTATATTATGAATAAAGTCCAAATATTATTTGAATACAAAGGTGGTGGAAAACATGAATATTGATGAAGCCCAATAGAAAATGAATATTAAGTATATAGTGGAGTTCTTTCAGTTGGTATTTTCCAATCAACTTTATGGATGGCTTGCATGCAGATATACCTAAAGTTATGTGTGTGTCCAACCAAGACAGAGGAAGACGTCAGAAATCTCAATAAAAGAATAGAGGGTTACGGACAGAAAGTGAGTGAATGATGAACATTGTACTATGTATATCATTGCCATTGAAAATAAAGAGGAACACTGTTATCAAAATTTTTCAAGAAACTTTTTTTTACAAAATGACAAAATGGACCTAATTAATGCTTGGCCTTTAAGGTATCAGTCTTTCACTTAAAGGTACTTGGACACAGATTTGAAGTTAATATTTTCTCATTTTTTTCTGTATAATACAGTAAAACACGGTTATAGCGAAGCCCTGGGGACCTGTGAATTAAATTCGCTATATCCGTAATTCGTTATATCCGTATAACGAATTCGTATAACCATATATAGCGAATTCGCAATATGCATGTTTTCCTTCAAGTGTTACTATTAAATATGTTAGGGAAGCAAATATTACAAAACATATCTTCGATAACTAAGGTTTTATTATGAATTGAATTTTATATACAAATGCTGAGAGAAAATAAAGTCAGTTCAATTATTCAAAATTTGAAATCTTTGAAACGTTATAAAAGATGTAAAATTATTATAAACCTCAACAGGACTCAAAATCAGTTCGCTATATCCGTAAATTCGTTATATCAGAGTTCGTTATAACCGTAAAATTTTACAAAGATTTGTTAAGAATTTTGCCGGGGACCCAGATAAACTACGTTATATCCGTGAATTCGCTATATCCGTGTTCGTACTAAACGTGTTTTACTGTATCACGAATTATATATTTTAATAGCATTTCACACAAAAATTAATTAAAAATCTTATTTCATTTAAAAGTTATTAAAACTTTAAATTTTGACACATCCTTGCACTTTCACAAATTTTAACTTTATTCTTAAACCTTAGGAAAAGTGGCAATTTTGATGTGTTTTAATGAGAAATATTAAAACTTTTTATCAAGAAAAATAATTTTATTCAGAGTAGAAATGTCAGAAAGCAAAACACCTTCACAAGTATCGTCATTCGGAACTAAGAGATGCGAACAGAGTTTAGCAAATCGAGCACACTCGTGTTATGTACACAGTTTTTGTAAATAGGGCTCGAGTTCTGTTATTGTTTATATTCAGAATTCACCGGGTGCGTTCAATCGTCACAGTCTGCTTACCACAACTGCACGGACTGACAATATATTGTGTGTTTGTTTTGCTTTCGAACGTGTCTACTCTGAATTTTCTGGATTATAGTATTAATATTTTTCATTTATACAAAACGAGATTGCCACTTTTCCTAAGGATTAACAATAAAATTTAATTTGTGAGAGTGCAAGGATATGTCAATCAAACCCGCCGAAAAATTTGAAATTTCAATATCTTTTAAAAGAAATAAGATTTTTAATTAATTTTTGTGTGAAATGCTATAAAAATATATAAGTCGTAATATTATAGAGAAAATAATAACTTCAAATCTGTGTCCAAGTACCTTTAAACATGTATGATCGATATGAACTAAACTTTGTGTTATGACTTTGCAGAGGTATATTTCTTTAAGCCTTTTGTAGTTGTATCATTCACCTATTATGGGGAAAATGTTTTTTTCTCTTAGGCAAGGTCTTGTGTACAGATATTAAAGGAGGGAGTGAAAAATGGATATGTTTTCCATCTTCTCTCAATAGTAAGCTATATAAATTCCTCAATCTCAATCTTTCAATGTGCTATGAGGTTATAAATAAGCACTGATTGGTCAACCTACAATGTTCCAGTTAAGTTAATATTCATATAGAGAATATTCATATATCAGGTTAAAAATGATTTCAAGCTATCAAAAGGTACTTTTAGTTGCAGTTGAGTGGGATATACCAGTATTTAAGATCGACAAAAGAACAAACAAATATGATAACAAAGTTGAATAAACCATTTATTTCATTTTGATTTACTCAGTGGTTAATTACATGTATTTTATGTTATTAAATTTAGGAAGGTGTGCCAGATCAGATTTATAATATGATCAATGTTGAGCTTAGCCCAGAAAGCGATGTTTTTCTTTCTCCATACAAAGAGTTCCCCGAAGGATCCATAGAAACTTCTATAAAGTAAGAAAAATATATGTTTTTAGAAAACCTCATTGTTTTAAGGGGTCCCGACCCTCTGCTATAAATTTCACTTTAGAAAATTTTTAATTTGTAAGATTGATTTTCATAAACAACAATATCATTAGAGCCACATGGAAAATAGTTTGAAGTATGAAGCGCTGCTTATTTTGTCAGAAATGATTTTTATGTCAGATCATGATTTGAAGAAATTGAACGCACAGAACAGAAAGAGTAACGATTTGTTATCACAACATTAAATTTAAAATATGAGGTGCATATGAAAATAATGCTTATAATAATACCTATAAAAATTATGTGAGAAAACATCATGAAGCGATGCTTCTTAAGTCAGAAAATCACAATGCTGTATGTGATTCTAAGAAAAAAATTTATCTGTGAGGAGGGGTTATCTTTCTTCTAAATATTTCTTCATGTGAAAAAACGTCATACTAATAAAAATACAGCATTAAGTACTTGAAACATTAAACCATTTATAAAATGATCCTTAAAAAGATACAACTTATTCAATTTATAAGACTTTCGAAATGTTTTATTGTTAAATATAATAAGACAATTACAAAGAAATATTGGCAAAAGAAATAGAAAGTTATGTTTCCATCACATGTTAGATTTCATCGAATTGACTCCTCAGAGGTCTCAATTAGGAAACTCTGATTAAGAAAACTGTGAGTAGTATTCATATTTTGTACTTTGAAAGTTATCTGCCTTATCAGATGGTCGGTACCCCTTAAAATTCATATGACTGAGAATAATCCTGAAGATTGCAAAATTGATTTGAATTATAACCTATACCAGCTTCCTAAACTACTGCATAAAAATTCTTTCAAAGATACTTTGCATGTCCCAGTAAATGTTCAGACAAACCTCTTTCTTTAATCCTCACGAAATATTAACGGAATGAGAAGTATTGTACAACAATATATTTTAGAAGTGGTCTTCAACAATAAACAGATACTAGTATAAATACTTAAAAAGTTAAAACATGAAGAAATTTTCAGAAAATTTTAAAATGCAAAAGTTTTGTCACAGTCAATATCATCAAAACTTAACCTTTTCAACACTATAAATGTGACGACCATCTTTAAAATCACAAACTTCCCTACTCATGTAGCAATATAACATCATATGCAAATGAGGTTTATATAGAAGGGTATGGAGATAACAAACAGTATTCAATATCAAAGTCTATAAAACAAAACAAAATAAGAGCAGAGCAAGCAAACACGGACCTCCTAAACATCAGAGGTGCAAGGGATCAGGTGCCATGGAGGAGTGAACATCCCCTGTTGACTGGTTATACCCGCCGTGTGCTCCTTGTCATGAATAGGAAATAACGGAAAAATCCGTCGTCAATTCAGTGTATAAATAATGCACAGAATGGACTAACAATTTGTATGGAAAACATCCGTCAGCATTTGACTCAATGATAAATTGTATTTGCTGACAAGGTCATTGTATCGACCATAAAACGTATACGAAATGATGACTTTAAACGAGACTGCTGATATTCTTGTTTTTATCAATTTGCTTGTCAATAATTTACCTCATTTTAGAAATTGTTCATACGTAGAGCAAGCTCTTGCGTATCGAATCAACTGAGGTATATACACTCCATATGCAGGTGATGAAGGTATATTGCTGCATAAGTAAGGGAAGTTGACGATAGAATAGTTAAAATCATCACGTTTATCAAAAAGCTTGGTTGTTAGATTGCTGTTAACGTCTTTTTCAAGTAAAATATCCAAGTATGAAACAGATATGTCAGACTCTGTAGTATCTTTTATCTCAAGTTCACCAGGATATATCATATCGACGTAGGAATTGAAATTACCATTGAAATTGACAATACGTCGTTGATATATCTTAATGTCGAGTTGAAGGTCACAACAAGGTTTTCTTCTTTTCCCGCATAAGATTTTGCACAAATTCTGCTTCTTAAGAATATAATAATAGGTCCACTAAAAACGGAGCGCAATTGGTACCTATGGGAATTAGATTGCTACAATATCTGGTCTACAAAAACTGCATAGATATTGTCAATCAGAAACTCAAGTATCTTTTTGATGTCAACTTCAGTGTACTTGTGTGTGCAATCAGAAGGTGTTTTAACAAAATAATTTTGCAAATGACCAATGACCAGGTAAGTAAATTTACGAGTTCCATTTATATTAAAAAAGCAGCTGTCAATGTTATCAAAATACCTAGACTTTAATTTATCGTGGGGAATGGTTGTATATAAAGTTGAAAAGTCGTAAGGTTTTTAGGTGTTGATTTTTGAAATTGTCCAAAAGTTCTTTGTAAATTTTTAGTATCCACATCTGATTCACACCACTTATTGAATATATTTCATTCATTACTGTCAATATCTTAGTGAGGAGTAAAGAAGGAGCCTTGGTTGCACATTTAATTACTGGAACCCGCTCATGCATCTTTGCTTGAAAGGATGCTTATATGAAGTTTTGGAATCCAATGTATATGGTAGTTCAAATTATTTTTGGCTCTGCGGAATATTAAAAATATTTATGTTCCCCAAACGAAGTTGGGGAACATATTGTTTTTACTCTGTTTCTTATTATTATGTTCCCCAAACGAAGTTGGGGAACATATTGTTTTTACTCTGTTTCTTATTATTATGTTCCCCAAACGGAGTTTGGGAACATATTGTTTTTACTCGGTTTCTTATTATTATTAAGGTCTTCCGTCTCCAACGGAAGACCTTCTTGTTATTCTTCGGTTTCTTTTTCCCTATTATTATTATTATTATTATTATTATTATTATTCTTACCGATTTTGTGCACGCGATTTCTCGTAAACTACTGGACCGATTCTCATGAAACTTTAACATATGATAGGTACTGATCTGAACCTTATTGGAAATTTTTTTCGTCAATGACGTCACTTCCGGTCGTGAGATATGGACAATTTTCTGATTTTAAAATGCAATTTTGTCTTGATTTAGTAGCGAAAACTGCTTTAGATATGAACTGAAGATTAATTGGAGATGATAGTTCATGACTTATAGCGTTGCACAAACGCCTTTTCGTGCGACGTCAGTACTTCCGGTCGAAACCGGAAGCGAATTTAAAAAACGTAATTTTTCAACTTTTCTTTTTTAATATTTTTGTTTTAGAATTGAATAGAGACCCTTTTGCAGAAGCCAAATATGTAATTTGTTTGAAAATCGAAAAAGCCAATCTCGAGATATTTGCATTTGAAAACGCGAAGCGGCGATCCCGATGGCCGAATGGTTAGCGCGTTGGATTGTCACGCGGGCGACCCGGGTTCGATCCCCTGTGTGTCCAAATATTTTTATCACTTTTTCTGCTCGATTTTTCGATTTTTATTAATTTTAGACCATTTGCAACAACATATTTTAAATTTTTAAGTATATCGTACGTAATAAGGGGTCACAAGGGGCCAAAATGCTAAATCTTTGACGCTTCATATCTTGAAAAGAGGGAATATTTTGATAAGCAATATTGAACAAAAGATGGTCAGAATAATATTCTAAACAATATGCATACTTTGAATTTTTGTAAAATGGCCCTATTAAGGACTTGTAGGGGTGGCCCCTTAATATTTCCATTCAGCATATCTTCCAAACGAAAAGAAATCTCTGAATAGTTGTTGAACAAAAAGTCTTTGAAATCACAAGACCTTTCATTTGATATCAAGAAAAAGGGGCTGACCCCTCAAATAAGGGGCTCAGAGGGGCCAAAAGTCTTTCATCTTTAACTCTTAAATGATCAATATTTGTGACACAGTATAGAAGCAAAGGTATTTATCTTAACAATTTGCAACAATATATGATACAACTTGGATCATGTGTTACGTAATTAGGGGTCACAAGGGGCCAGAATGTCAGATCTTTGACGCTTTATATCTCAAAAAGGGGGAATATTTTGATAAGCAATATTGAACCAAAGTTGGTCAGAATAATGTTCTCAACAATATGCATACTTTGAATTTTTTGTAAAATGGCTCCATTAAGGACTTGTAGGGATGGCCCCTAAATATTTATATGAATCATATCTCCACAATGAAAAGAAATCTCTGAATAGGTGTTGAACAAAAAGTCTTTGAAATCACAAGACCTTTCATTTGATATCAAGAAAAAGGGGCTGACCCCTCAAATTAGGGGCTCAGAGGGGCCAAAAGTCTTTCATCTTTAACTCTTAAATGATCAATATTTTGTGATACATTATAGAAGCAAAAGTATTCATCTTAACAATATGCAACAATATATGATAGAATTTGGATCATATGTTACGTCATTAGGGGTAACAAAGGGCCAGAATGCTAAATATTTGACGATTCATATCTTGAAAATGGGGAATATTTTGATAAGCAATATTGAACAAAAGATGGTCAGAATAATATTCTAAACAATATGCATACTTTGAATTTTTGTAAAATGGCCCCATTAAGGACTTGTAGGGGTGGCCCCTAAATATCTATATGAAGCATATCTCCACAACGAAAAGAAATCTCTGAATAGGTGTTGAACAAAAAGTCTTTGAAATTACAAGACCTTTCATTTGATATCAAGACAAGAGGCCCATGGGCCACATCGCTCACCTGAGTAACTTGGGTGATGCAGATCGTTACCAAATTCCCCCTCTTGCTATACCTATCATGCCAAACAACCCCTTTCCTTTTTTATTTTAAAAATTTAGAATCTACACTTCTCAAGGATGCTTCCACATAAGTTTCAGCTTTCCTGGCCCAGTGATTCTTGAGAAGAAGATTTTTAAAGATTTGTTCCATATATTTCTATGTAAAGCTTGGATTCCCCATTGTAGCCCCGCCCTACCCCCGGGGGTCATGGTTTTAACAATTTAATATCTACACTACCCAAGGATGCTTCCACATAAGTTTCAGCTTTCCTGGACCAGTGGTTCTTGAAAAGAAGATTTTAAAAGTTTTGTTCTATATATTTCTATGTAAAACTTGGATTCCCTATTGTGGCCCCGCCCTACCCCCAGGGGTCATGA